AATATATATTATATAGTTCATACAAAAAGGGCAGTGGGCAACAGGATCTACATAGGGCAGCAAGCAACCGCTAAAAATCTTCAGTAAGTTATCTTTGTAAGAACTCTGGTAAACACCAAACCAAAATCAGCACCTCCAATAAAATATTAATTGTTTACACAGCATACCAGTATAGCAACTTGATAGAACATTATGGTACACCTGGCTTAGATCCTCCATTTGCATCAGCTGTTGTAAACAAACCGCCAGTGGCGCCACCAACACCAAGCAGCCAGCTGCGAAACTATGGGTCCGTTACTCTGTCGGCAGCACAGCAGCACGGCTTAGACTTAAACTGTCATCCGCTGCAGCACTGTTGTTTGAAGAGTTTGCAAACTCAACAACTTTCAGCTTCAAACTTGCGTCATATTTCACCCATTTTGCTGGGGGAGCCGTGGGGAAAAGATGTTTTCAGCTGTTGTCAGGTTGGTGTGTAGGTAATGAGTGGATGCCAGCAAGAGCATAAAGCCACAATGGTTCAGTAAATTGCCAGTGTAGGCTTGTTCAGTGTATCCCCCAAACACTGAATAAGCCTGTAGTGTATGTGAACTCACAATCTATAGCGCTATCATAATATTGCACAGGTGGCACCATATTGTAGTACAGGGTAGTTGTCTGGCTGGCCGCCGGGTTTAGTGGCGTTCTGATCCATTGTTTACTGTCCATCAGCTGTTGAAAATGGCGTGCGGTGTTCTGTTGGTTTAATTATACTGGAATTTACTATTTTATTATAATGTCTATGTTAAATAAGTTTACCAAACATGAATTTCAGTAGGAAATATTAGCGGCAGGCCACGAGAGTTAGTGATGCAGTGTTAGGCAGGCTGTTCCACTTGTTCACCACTATGTGGTACAGCTTCACATTTTATACTCCGAGTATAAGTCGACCCCTGGTTTTGGAGAGATATTTTGAAGCTTAAAATGTTGACTTATACGCCGCAATTTACGGTACTCTACAGTATATACTGTACACCAAGCATGTTTTGTCTAATGGTAGACCCTGCTGCTATATGGCATCACAAAAATTTTGACCAAGTCCCAGGTTGTTGATCTGACTTTCTGCCTCATTTACACACAATTGCAGGGTCTCAATTGTTTCTCTTACTTTGACAACACAACATACATACTGTTTCTCACTCTTGATCTTTTATTTTTGTTCTTCTCACTCTTGATCTTTTATTTTTGTTCTTTATGGTTCTTTATTATTATTATTATTATTATTATTATTTATATTTATTTTATTTTAAATTTTGTATTTCTTTTTGTAAAATTTATTAAAATTTTTTTAAATTATTATTATTATTAGTAGTATTGCAATTTTGCCCCCCAGGCCCCGATGTGGGTCAGTGACCTTTGCCTGAGTGGGCATTAGCCCACCGTGTACCTGTATACAGTAATACCCCGCTTTACGCGGTTTCACTTTACGCGATTCTACATTTACGCGGTACCTCGCCAGAACCGGACTTTCACTTTACACGATGCATCTACCCATAAACGCGTAGTGTGTCTGGCGCAACGCTATTTTTAGATTCAACCCCCCCGCCTTCTCCCGCTTGGGCAAGCCGCGCGGTAAGGTTGTGCAGTGGATGTCTCTGTTGCATTATCAGTGACATCATATGATGTATCGGACTGTGATTGGGCCATGCATCCTTACCTCCCTCCGCTGCTAGCTGTGATTGGTTTAAAGTAATATGACGTGTCCACCCGCGGGAGGCAGGAAAGACGACGCTTGACCTAGACGTGTCAGTTGTATCCCTCCAGGCCACACCATGTAAACCAGTATCCATTGTTCTGTAAAATGGCTTCCACCGGACCACCGCCCCCAGAGAGAAACCTTGCATTACCTGGACCCAGCCGCCCTAAGCCAAAGAAGATACAACGTTCCCTAAGCTACGAAGTGAAATACAAGATCATTCAAGAGTTGGAGAAAGGAACACGTCAATCTGATCTCGCGCGCCAGCATGGAGTCAACGAATCTATGATTCGTACTATTAAAAAGGGTGCAGCCAAGATCAAAGAGCACATGAGAATCACAATGTCTGCAGGTGCTTCAATGATCAAGTATTGCCAGAACAAGGTGCTACTAAAGGTTGAAAATTTGCTGGCGAGTTACTTGATTCGTCAGGAGCGACGCAACATGGCAGTGGACACGCGATCCGTTCAAGAGTACGCCCGTGAACTGTACGCAGCAGTGTCACGTAAGATGGGAATTCCAGAGCCCAAACCCTTCAATGCTTCCTCTGGTGGGCTGCATAGGTTTAAGAAGAGGAACAATATCACCAACATCAACATTGGTGGTGAAGAAGCGAGTGCTGACCGTGTGGCGGCTAGAGATTTTCCTCCGTTCTTACGTGAGGTTATGGAGGAAGGACAGTACACCGACGACCAGGTGTTCAACATGGACGAATCCGGTCTATTTTGGAAAAAGCTGCCTACCATGACCTTAGTTGTCCAGTCTGCCAGCAAGATTCGGGGTCGGAAGTTGCAGAAGGAGCGCATCACCGTCCTCTTTACCACCAATGCCTCCGGTACCTGTAAACTCAAGTTATCGGTGATCCACACAGCCTGCAAGCCGCACGCCTACAAGAACGTGGACATGAGCAAGATTAATGTCCACTGGCTGACCTCACGTAAGGCGTGGATGTTCTCTGCTCTGTCACTCTCCTGGTTTGATGACTGTTTCGTTCCCGACGTGAAGAAATTCTGCGAGCAACAGAATGTGCCATTCAAGATTTTGTTGCTCCTTGACAACGCACCAAGACACTCGCCACTACTTATGGATCGTCACCCCAACGTAAAAGTGGTCTTCATTCCTCCCAACACTACAACATTAATCCAGCCCATGGACCAAGAGTTGATATGCAATGTGAAAGCTGCATACTCTGCAAAGAAGTTTAAGCTCCTGAACGACTGTACCAACACCAAGGATGAGTTGCGTAAGCTGGGTGACACCGATAGCGAGAGCAAAAGCGACGAGGACAAGGAACAAGAGGTGGCGACTCAAGAAGTTCTCGTCAAACAGTTTTGGAAAAAATTTAACGTCAAACAAGCTGTGGACTTCTTGGTGGAGGCATGGGATCAGCTGTCTGTAGCTAAGATTCGTCACGCATGGAGGCATGTGTTGCATGGTATCCCAGATGAGAGGCGGAGTCAACTTGTGACTGGTGAGGTTCAGTCTGTTACAGTGGCATTGGACCTTGCAAGAGAAGCTGCGCACAGTATTACAGCTGAAGGCTTCTCCGAGACCACCAACGATGACATCCTGGAGGTGATCAGAAATCCTGAAATGACTGCCGACGAGATGTTGGAAGATGATTACGTCAAAGAAGAGGCAGGTGGTGCGTCAACCCCAGAAGAACACAAGTTAACGCATAGTAATGTTAAGGATGCCATCGAGTGTGCAGAGAAACTGAAGCTCTTCCTTTCCAACGACCATGACGATGACCGCTATGAGGTCTTCCATACCCAGCTGGTGCAGGCTATGGAGTCGTACATCATGGTGTATCAAGACAACATCAACACTAGCCGTCAAAAAAGCATTACCGAGTTCTTCGCCCGCAACCCACCACAGCCAGCCAGAGCCAGTGATAGTGACAGAGACAGTGAAGGTGACTTTGAGGGATTTGTCAGGGAGGCCCTGACAACTATGGTGGATAGTGATGGTGATTCGCCTGAGGGCCAGTAATCTGCCCTCTGCCTCAGAACCAGCCTCCATCCCCTTATGCCGACCCATCTCTTCTACTAACGTAAGTGTTATACCTAACCTTTATTTTTCCTAATCTATCCTTTATTTTTCCTAACCTAACCTTTACTTTTCCTAACCTAACCTCTTCTATATTACTTGTTTGTTCATACCATCATAAAGTTAAGATAATATTTTTACAAAAACATAGTTGTGTGTCGTCAAAAAGTGGAGTTTGGGGGTCGGGCCAGTCTCTATTGGAATTAATCCCATATGTTCTGTTGTTCACTTTACGCGGTTTTCACTTTCCGCGGTACCCTGTGGGTTCAATTGACCGCGTAAATCAGGGTACTACTGTATATATAAAAAAAAAAATACAATTTAAGATATTTTGCCAGAGAGAAAATAAATACATTCTTAATTCAGGAAAAGGTGTAAAACTGGATAAAGAAAGCATTTATCATAATACAGGTTGACAACCCTTTATCCGAAATTCCAAAAAGCGAAAAGCTCTAAAAACCGAAAGTTTTTTTGTGGTTTTTTTTTTTTTTTTTTTTTTTTTTTAAACAGGGATTAGCCCACCCGGGCATAAATCACTGACTCACATCGGGGCCTGGTGGGCAAAAATGTAATAGTAATAATAATTATAATAATAATAATTATTCATAGTAAATAAAAATTTTAATTAAAATACTGTACACCAAAATAAAATAATAATGATAACAATAATAATAATAATAGTAATAATAAAATATATTAATAAAATTAATAATAATAATAATAACAATAATACTGTAATAAAATAATGATAACAATAAAGAAATACAGTACAAGAATGAAAAAAAAGATCAAAAGTGAGAAATGCGACCTAGACCTATGAATTATTATTACAGTATTATTATTATTATTATTATTATTATTATTATAATAATAATAATAATAATATTTTCGCCCCCTCCAGGCCCCGATGTGGGTCAGTGATCTATGCCTGGGTGGGCTTAAGAAAAAAAAAAAAAAAAAAAAAACTAACCATTCTGAAAACCGAAAAATTCCGAAATCCGAAATGCCTCTGGCCCCAAGGATTTCGGATAAGGGATTGTCAACCTGTATAACTTTCATGAGTTATTTCCCCCTGTAACTTGACAAACTGTGGAATATTACAAGACCTCAACAAGCCCAATAATTATGTTTTTATCTTCACTCAAGTCATTATGATAACACAGCTTCTCCCACTTTCACTACCATACCATAAAGTGTTCTGCCACGGTGTTTTCCTTACCTATACTGGAGTAATCTGCTGCATCCACTGTCTTAAATGAAGTTTCAAAGGCATTCTCTTGTGCCTCATCGGGATGATTCCCAACAGTGATGCCAAAAATGACATCGTTGGTGTGGTTAAAGACAACATCACACAGATTGAGCACAGGTACTGTTCTTAAGAGGTGAAAAGTTCTTAAGTCCCAGATCTCGGAGGAGCTGAGGATTTCTAAGCCATTGCGATGGAAGATGCCATTAAGTATAGGGTTGATCTTGTCGAATTTGTGAATCTGTCAAGGGAAGTTAAAATTCATCATGGAGTCTTTCTGCAATGAAGGTTAATTTAAAAGTGTTCTAACCAAAATTATATATTAATTAGTACAAAAACCAATCACAGTTTCTATTAATGACACTCTACTCTTTACTATAAAAGGGATGGAAATGTGTATCAAGGCTCATTAGAAGAGAAAATGATAACCCCCAAAAAGTATGTTAATCTTCAACTCATATTTAATAAATCAGCACAAATTAGGACATTACTTGGCCAACCACTTGGGGCGACTGTCATGTAGTTTGAACATTAACTTGTATCATTTTGCTATCTTTATGTTTACATTATTGCTACTTATCCATATTGTTTTGTTACTGCTGTTTATATGTCTACACTTTTAAGTTTTAATGTTACAGTGTCCAGTTAAAGTTATTTTTAGGGGTGAGTCTAGTGATCTGAACCCAGTCTTTACAGTCAGTTAGACGGTTTAATTCATTACATTTTAGGCCCGGTGCTCCAAATTCCCAGGGAAAAAACCCTATCTGGCATCCCCAGGTCCCAAGCATGTTGGATAAATGGTCCCATACCTGTATAGTAATTGACATTGTAGATACGTTATGTGTACTATTTGTGCTCTATGATTACCTGTGGGAGGGTCACTTCCTGCTTATGGATAGCCTCCAGGAACAGAACCAATCTCTAACCTGGGGAGTGTCTGTACTTGCCATAACACAAGGAAACTTGAAGACATGTACAATAACTCCTTCTATAATAATGTTCACTGCACACATTATTATATTCCAGCTTACCAGATAAATTACTATCATTCTATAAACAATAATCTATATAATTCTCATAACACATAAAAAAACCTGAAGACATGTGAAACAACAATACAGGTTGGACCTCGTCAACCCAGGACCCGATAGTCTAGCAGCTTCGATGGTTCGGGACGGTATCAGTAAGCCTATAATATACAATTTTCTCTTTGCCTTTTTTTGCTAATTTTATGGGGAAAATTAGGATCTGTTACACAACTCCTAAAAGTCAACAGTAATGCTATAAAAGTTGTGGACAAATCATTACAGTGGTCCCTCGGTTAACGAACGGTTCAATTAACGAAATTTAGGTGAACGAATTAGCTCCCATAAGGATTTTCAGTTCGATTAACGATTTGTTGTGCACATCAGCTGATCGGCTAGTCCGCCAATATAGTAATTGGTTCCATGTTTACATTTATTTCCAGTGAAGTAAATACCAAAAAAGTTGGTCTCTTGAATATTTCTGCATTTTTTATATTAAAATTAAAATTATTGGTCAATCTGAAATTTAGTTAACGTATTGATAATATAGACAGTACAGGGAACAGTTTTTGTGAGCCCATCAACTGATTCAATCACCCACCAACACTTCTCAGTTTAACTTTGTTTACAGTTGCATGAGCATCGATTTTGTTGGTCTCTTGAATATTTTTTGCATTTTTACATTAAAATTATTGGTCATTCTGAAATTTAGTTAACATATTGATAATATACAGTGCAGAAATTATTATGAAACATGAAGAAGGCATTAGAACCAATGCACTCTGTAAAGAATATGGGATGTCATCATCGACTGCCTCTACAATCAGCTGTTTGATATGTAAACAAAGCTGCCGGGAATACGACATACACACCTCAAAGTAAGTTAAAATACAATATTCTATTGTTTTTTATTTATTATTGTACAGTATACTGTACAGTACAGTACTGTATTTAGTTTATATTTAATGTTTTGTTAATTCTATTTCTGGTATACAGTACTTTTTCTGTGAGTTGGAACCAATTACCCAATATCCCATTGAAATAATAGATTCGGTTAACGAACGACTCTGTGGAACAAATTGTGTTCCTTAGCCAAGGGACCACTGTACAATACTCTAATGTGGGTTAGAAATAAAGGTAATATAATATAAAACTATAAACTAAGACATATAAAGAGCGTGGGTGTTTGTGTGTGAAGGGGCCGACTCGCTACTCTAGGAGCATCCCGTGACGTCACATACAGCGCTGTACACACACACACACGAGCCATGTTTCACAACCATTTCTGGTGCATTAATGCTATAAAAGTTGTAGAAAAATCATTACAATACTCTAATGTGGCTGAGAAATAAAATAATATACCGTACAGTGATATCCCCGTTAGCCGGAACAATTGGTGCAGAGCACTACCGGGGATGACAGATTTCCGGGTAATGAGACGACTCTCTTGAACCCCTAAAAAATATCACTCATCTCCGGAATTTTCCAAAATTTTCTGGGTTACGGAAAAATTTTCTCGGAATTTTCCGGAAAGCGTGCCCCTTGGAAAATCGTTCCAAAAGTCGGAATTTTCCAGAAAATTATTGCTTTGGGAACGATTTTCTGAGAAATTGAAATTCCGGAAATCTGAGAGTTCTGGGTTTGATGGATTCCGGCTAACGGAGATATTACTGTAATATAAAACTATAAAATAAGAAAAAGTAGAGAACATGGGTCTGTGTGTGTGGATGGAAAGTGAGCCACTTGATTACTGAGGAGCCTTCCCGACCTCTGCCTCCAACCCTCCCTCAATGTGATGTCACACACACACACATCATTTATATACAAGTTTGGTGTTAATAAAGTGAAACCAATAATGTAGTACTGTATTTTATGGCAGTTCCAGGAAATGTGAGGAATAAAAAAAAAAAAAAACTGTATTACCAAATCAGTAAACAGAAACCAAATGAAAGTTTAACACAGTCACCATTTGCATATTACTCCCTGTTTCACAATAGTAATGAAGATCAGCTGGGATCCCGACTCCCAAGCAATGCTCCCCTACACTCTCCTCCCATTACATGTTTGCCCTTGGGACAATTATTTATTTAACTTTCTTCACAATACAGTTTTACCCCGCCTAACGCGGTTTCACTTAACGCGTTTTCGCATATACGCGGTGCCTTGCCAAAGCTGAACTTTCACTTAACGCGGGTTTTTTCCACATATACGCGGTGAGTGTCCGGCTCGGATGCTATTTTTAGATTTTGCCCACGCGCCACGCGCCACCCCCCCGCCCGCCTGCCTGCCTGCCTCTCCCTCCTCCTCCCTCCGCTTGGGTAAGCGGCGCGGTAAGGTTGCGCAGTGTGTGTCTTTGTTGCGTTATCACTGACGTCATATGACGTCTCGGACTGTGATTGGCCATGCAGCCCTACCCCCCTCTGCTGCTAGCTGTAATTGGCTTAAAGTATTATGACGTGACTACCCCGGGGAGGGAGGGAGGGAGGAGAGACGACGCTTGACCTAGCCGCGGCAGTTTCATCCCTCAAGGCCACCCCGGGTTAACGCGCATCCATTGTTCCATAAAATGGCTTCCGCCGGACCACCACCGCCCCCAGAGAGAGACCTTTCCTCACCTGGACCCAGCGGCACTAAACCAAAGAAGACACGACGTTCATTAAGCTACGAGGTGAAGTACCAAATTGTTCAAGATTTGGAGAAAGGAAGACGCCAAGTTGATCTCGCGCGCCAGCATGGCGTCAACGAATCTACGATTCGTACAATCAAGAAGGATGCAGCCAAGATCAAAGACCACATGAAAATCACAAAGTCTGCAGGTGCTTCATCTATCAGGTATTGCCAGAACAGGGTGCTGGCAAAAGTGGAAACTTTGCTGGTGAGTTATTTGGTGCGTCAGGCGCGACGCAACATGGCGGTGGACACGCGCTCAGTGCAGGAGTACGCACGTGAGCTATACGCAGCAGTGACACGTAAACTGGGAATTGCAGAGCCCAAACCCTTCAATGCTTCCTCTGGTTGGCTGCATAGGTTTAAGAAGAGGAACAAGGTCACCAACATCAACATTGGTGGTGAGGAAGCGAGTGCTGACCGTGCGGCGGCTAGAGATTTTCCTCCGTTTTTACGTGAGATTATGGAGGAAGGACAGTACACTGACGACCAGGTGTTTAACATGGACGAATCTGGTCTTTTCTGGAAAAAGTTACCTTCCAAGACCTTCGTTGTCCAGTCTGCCAGCAAGGTAAGGGGTCGGAAGATGCAGAAGGAACGCATCACCGTCCTGTTTACCACCAATGCCTCCGGTACCTGTAAACCAAAGTTATCGGTGATTCACAAAGCCCGCAAGCCGCACGCCTACAAGAATATGGACATGAACAAGCTTAATGTCCACTGGCTAACCGCACGTAAGGCGTGGATGTCCTCTTCTCTGTCCCTCTTCTGGTTTGACAACTGTTTTGTTCCTGACGTGCAGAAATTCTGCGAGCAACAGAATGTTTCATTCAATATTTTGTTGCTCCTTGACAACGCACCAGGACACTCGCCCCTACTTATGGATCGTCACCCCAACGTAAAAGTGGTCTTCCTTCCTCCCAACACTACGTCATTAATCCAGCCTATGGACCAGGAGTTGATCTGCAATGTGAAAGCTGCGTACTCTGCAAAGAAGTTCAAGCTCCTGAACGACTCTACCAACACCAAGGATGAGTTGCGTAAGCTGGGTGACACCGACAGCGAGAGTAAAAGCGACGAGGACAAGGAACAAGAGGCGGCGACTCAAGAACTTCTCGTCAAACAATTTTGGAAGAAGTTTAACGTTAAACAAGCTGTAGACTTCTTGGTGGAGGCATGGGATCTGCTGACTATTGCTACGATTCGTCACGCATGGAGACATGTGTTGCATGGCATACCAGGTGAGAGGAGGAGTGAACCTGTGACTGGTCAGGTTCAGACTGTTGCAGTAGCAGTGGACCTTGCCAGAGAAGCTGCGCTCAGTATTACAGCTGAAGGCTTCTCCGAGACCACCAACGAAGACATCATGGAGGTGATCAGAGATCCTGAAGTGACTGCCGACGAGATGTTGGAAGAAGAACCCGCCAGTGAAGAGGAGGAAGAAGGTGCGTCATTCTCCGAAGAACCTAGTTTAAGTCATAGTGATATTAAGTGTCTCATAGAGTTTACAGAAAAAATTAAGTCCATCGTTTCCCCCGCGACAATGACGATGAACGCCATGACGTCTTCCATACCCGACTGGTGCAGGCTATGGAGCCGTACATCAAGGTGTATCACGACAACATCAACACCAGCCGTCAGAAAAGCATAACCGAGTTCTTCGCCCGCAACCCACCACAGCCAGTCCAAGCCAGTGATAGTGAGAGTGAAGTTGATTTTGAGGGATTTGTCAGGGAAGCCATGACAACTGTAAGTGACAGTGATATTGATTCACCTAGTAATGGTGATTCACCTAGTAATGGTGATTCACCTGAGGGGCAGTAATCTGCCCTCTGCCTCAGAACCAGCCTCCATCCCCGTATGCCGACCCATCTCTTCTACTACCGTAAGTGTTCCGCAAAAATTTTCGTTTTTTAACCTATTCTTTATTTTTCCTATGTTAACCTTTATCTTTCCTAACCTAACCTCTTCTATATTACTTGTTTTTCATGCCACCATAAAGTTAAGATAGAATTTTTACTACAACATAGTTATTTGTCGTCAAAAAGTGGAGTTTGGGGGTCGGGCTGGGTTCTATTGGAATTAATCCCATATGTTCTGTTGTTCACTTAACGCGGATTTCACTTAGCGCGGGACCCTCTGGGTTCTATTGACCGCGTTAAGTGGGGTACAACTGTATGTATGAAGGATGGTGTGTGCATGTAACTGAGCAAAAATAAATGGTAAACACTAATAATAACAGTAAATCCAGTGAAATATGGCAGAGAGGGAGGAGAGTTACAACTGCAGATGGTGCTGTAACTAGCGGTCTCTCACTCGCTTCCAGGCGTACAATTAAAATAAAGTAACTGTCGGAGAAATACATAACTTGTAGTATAATTTGAAAATGATGACGGGCACAGTGATAAACAAATTATATAAACCGCCTTTACCTATGATAAGAAACACTGAATCATTACTAGACTGCATGAACTTTTCCCACAAACAACAATTGATAACTTGGGCACCTGTGTCCCACACCCTGACACTTTGGTCCCTTGAAATTTTGGCTAAAATCACACATATCTGAGGACAAATTTTGACCAATTTTTTTTTATTCTTGAATTATTTTTGGGCAAATAATTGTGTCTTTTTTATTCTTGGATAGGTTTATGCTGATGTAAGTTGTATTGGTACCAGCAATAGTACATTTTATGCATTATTTTGCCTCTTTTAAACCTCGGCTTCAATGGTTCAAAAATTTTCCTAATCCAGAACCGGTCTGGTCCCAAGCTACTCATATTAGCGAGGTCCAACCTGTAATAGGAGTGTCTTGGGTAACAATATGGTGAACATTTTATTACATACCTGTTTACCAGAGCGCACATCAAACATGACACCATCAGTAAGGACTAAATCATCACAGGGATCCAGGACAGCCTTGTTGACGGTGTAGTGGTTGGATAATTTAGGTGTAAATTCACTCACAACCTGACTTGTATTAAGATCATAAAGCTGTTGGGAGAAATTAATTAAAACAATGAAAATGGTCAAGATTTCACAAACATTATCTATAGCGCCAAGTAAGTCATCATTAACTTACTAGAATCACGTTATCAGTATGTGGTCATGTTATACAGATTACCTTTATTAGTGAATCATGTACTGTACTGTAACAATGGATGGAAGTAAGAACTAGAGACCCATGAAGGGTACATAATAATGGATCGATTGATTGTGGTAATTCCATCCCTGGCGACGCAATAACTTAGGTCATATGTCACTGAATTAGACTAAACGTTTACAAGACCAAAAACATACATAATAAATAGCACAGAAATTTCATAAAAAAAATAAAAATAAAAAATAAACATTAATGGATAAAACTCAAAAGCCTGTGAAGAAGGCTGACAAACAAATGGAAATTCAATGTAAACGGAGTAATTTTAGCACAAGGTGATGGCTAGCCTATGTACTGCACTAAGCTGTCTATCAATGTGACCTTTATTGTGATGAGAAGAGAAGATTCCCATTGTACTGTTGGGGTTAAGATGGGATTAAAATCGAAGAACAAGTTGCCAAAACTATACTTACTTTTGCTGTTTGTTCACTTGTACCTATGATCTTATCTTGGGCATTACTGAAGTCTGCATGTTGACACTCATGTAAGGTGTACCTGTTAATAAAATAGTGCTAGATGACTACAGTATCCCTCACATTATTATTACAAGATACACTATAATAATTATTCTAAGGTAATGGACGGTATAAGGCTCAACTTGTCAGAGCAACAGTCAGATACAGTGAAGCCCTAATATAACGGACTCTTCTCTCCCATATAGTCCGTTAGATGGAGTTTTTTACTATACAATGAAAAGCCCAGATAATCATGTGTGTGTGTGTGTGTGTGTGTGTGTGTGTCCATCAAGGCACTTAACACGATGAAAAACACACCAATATAAACAGTGGTTCAGCCTTGGGATGATTATACAGTAAAGTCATGTACAGTATAGCCAATAACAAAGTGTGGACCATCCTACCGTGTGTAACAATATGGTGCGAAAACTGTAAACATATACCTGTGGTTACCAGCGTCAGTTGGTTGTTATTGATCATTTCCTATTCCACTGACCTTGAGGTGGTCAATGCTTATTTTACTGACTGTACACTCTGAGAGGCCTTACTGCTGGATCCTGACAGAGTAGTAAGGTGGACCAACATTACATAATTAAGTGTATAAATCATCAGACCAACTGCCATGAAAATACCTGTAAACATGGAATACTTGTGAGCAATGTCTTGGTGAAAATCTCCATCTCCTCCTCTAGAGATACAGTTACATCTTATGTGATCATTTTGACCAACATCCCAAAAACCCATCAATATAATTTTTTTTATGTGATTGTTTTCAATACTTAAATCTTCATTGATTCAAGGTTACTCCATTATTTAATACTATTTCCTTAATTTGAACAACACATCTGGAACAAATATGATTCACCTCAGCCACACCATCAAGTGGGCATGTTTGCATTAAATGGTTAATTATTTCTGCAGAATTCAAATCATAATTTTTATCTCAGTAGTAAGGAAGACAAGCATCTGCTAGGCTGGCGACCCCCCAAATTAACACAAGTTAGAACATGTCTTGAGGAAAATCTATAAGTTAGATGTTCAACAACCAAGGTCCTCTAAACTTTGACAAAAAAAAATCTGATAATCACTGGGTACTGTATCTAGATTGTAGCCTTTTCATTTCCATTTTATCACATTAATTAAGTGCACAATTCATCCTAATACACCTAATGATATGACTTCAAGTAAGAGATGTGGAAATCCACAGTTGTTTGTCAAATGGCCCCAACCTAGCCATAGTGACTGGAGACCCATTAATACTCTGGTTCACTGGGATAAGGAACTAAAGTAAGGATCCCATGTGTGAAAGTTCTTTTCACAGCAAGGATTCATCTCGTGTGGAACTCTGTGTGCAGTAGGTTAGTACGTACCATACAATAAGGGGGAACCCCTTCATGAAGTGCCCAGGACCAGGAAACTGTGTCCTTTATAAGAGATTTATTTTAAGAGATCTTTAGACAGAGATTCCACTATATTTTGTTTTGTGTTTACTAATTATGTTATACAGTAAGATCTCATACTTCGTGTGATTTCATTTCGTGTTTTTGAATTTCGCAAGCACTACCTAATGTAACCAAGTCTTATACAGTGGGGTATGCTATAACGAACGGATCCTACTACGAATATTCCTATAACGAACGGTTTTACCTATAAAATTGAGAATGCTATAACGAACGCAATTCCTACAACGAACGCGGATGAATACGGGACTATTTCGCCTGGCGCATGAATATTGTTGTACCGCGACCCACAACAAGAGCGTCAGGCGCCATCTTTGTCTCATTGTGTAGCCAGTGCACCACTGTTATTGTTGAAATTTCGTCTTTTGATGTGGAAATTCGCGTTATTTGTATAACTATTTTGTTATACAAGTATACAATTGTAACAATGAGTCGTCCAAAGCGAGTGAGAAAGCTAATAACCCTTGAAACTAAGAAAGAAATTATAAAGAAACGTGAGAATGGAAGAAGCATTGCGAAACTTAGTGATGAGTATGGGATGGCTAAATCGACTGTATGTACGATTTTGAAGAATAAAGAGGAGTTAAAAACTGTGCAAGTGGCAAAGGGAATCTTTAGACTTAGTAAAGCAAAGTGTGATGTGATTGAAGAGATGGAAAATTTACTCTTCGTGCGGATAAAGGAGAAAGAAATGGCAGGTGGTAACATTAGTGAAGCTATAATTTGTGAGAAGGCCAGACAATTGTTTGAGGACCTTAAAGCCAAGACTCCCAGTGGAAGTGATAGTGATGTGCCAGTGTTTAGGGGTACCTGCATGCTGAATAACACTAAGGTAAGATAAAGTACCGTATTTTTTACATTTTCCACAGAATTTTTTCAGTGTTAGGTGGTTGTATTTGGGGGCCTGGAACGGATTAATCCTATAACGAACGAGTGCTATAACGAACGAGGTTCTGGAACCAATTACGTTCGTTATAGCATACCCCACTGTATTTGGAAAAAAATATCGTGCATTTCACGAGATCCAGCCAGCTGAATGCTGGCCACCGTCTTGAATGACGTCACAGCCCTCATACCAGTTACAGTCATTTCTGCTACAACGCGTGTTTTGTCAACGCGAATTGGTTGCAACACGATTGATGAATAGGGGAACGCTGTTTGTAAAACGCGAACTTTTGCATACGAATGTTGGCTATAGCGCGATTCCATCCTCAACGTTTTAAGCGTGGCATGGGGTTATGCAGTGTTTACAGTTCACGTTCGACATCACATGTTCAATTGATTCGTATCCTTTGTTTGTGAAGTGTTTTTTGAGAGGTACTCTGTAAATTTCGTTTTTGGGGGGAAAATTTAGCTGTTACCCATAAATACTGTATGAAAAGAATAAGTAAAAAGAATGTTTCACAGTGAGGACTAATAACGGTTTACACCAGCGCTCTCCGTTTACATCACGTTATCAGTTGAATCGCGCGGTTTCTGTCGATGACTCCGTGATTTTCGCTGTTTTCTCCAATTTTGTTGTGTTAGCGAGGAAAATGGAAAGACAAGGTAAGAAGAATGTTTCCAAGAAGCGTTCTGGTGATCGAATTGCTGGTGGTGAGCGTAGAAGAGGTTTACAAGAACAAACTATCGCGTTGTAGCCTGCGCTATCGTCGCGACAGCCCGGGCTGCTATTGTGTGCTTTTTTGGGTGGTGCTACCACCTGTTGAGTCAAGATAATGGCCTCTACCTCTACTGGGGGTCCGACTGGTGCTGGTGGGGGTGGGACAGGCCCAACTAAGAGGCCAAATAAGGAAAAGGAGAAGCGAGACATCATAAGGGAGTTAAGTTTGCCAAGTACTCGATGCAGGATAAGCAGTGTGTGATTAAGTTACTTGAGGAAGGCCTAAAAACTAGTTTCTGGAAAGCACAATAAGGTCAATAAAGGCAGAATTTGTATCATTTGGAAGTTATAAATGAGAAAATCAGAGGTTGATGTAGAGTGGCCAGTCTATATTGTTATTTTTCCCATTAGTTTATGTATTTGGCCCAACTTTTCCAGTTTATATTACTCATGAAATAGAAGATCTTACTATATGCACAAAATAGTTATTATTAATCCAGTCAACCCTGTAGACCCAGTAATTTAACAATAATACAATTGGTTATAGTTGAAGAGTCACAGGGTTGTCCAGCTATCAAACAGGGAGGTACTACTGCCTGGGAAGGTATTGGAAGCATAATGTGTTGTCTAATGGTAGACCCTGCTGCCATATGGCATCACGAAAATTGTGACCAAGTCCCAGGTTGCTGATCTGACTTGCTGCCTCATTTACACACAATTGTAGGGTCTCAATTGTTTCTCTTACTATCGACAACACAACATGTCGTTTTGCACTCATGAGTTATTTTTTATTTATTTTTTATTATTTTTTATTATTATAACTATTTATTTATTATAATTTCTATTAATTTTGATTATTATTATTGTTTTTATTATTATTTAATCCCCCCCCCCCCAAGCCCCTGATGTGGCTCAGTGACCTGTGCCCCGGTGGGCTAATCCCCGGAGAAAAAAAAAAAAGCTTCTCCAGAATCTCCTCTGATATGACATAATGTGGCATAGTGATGAGGAGTACAATTTGGCATAGAAAAGCACACAAATATAGAAACAGATGCTATGATAGTATGTGGATGGAGTCCCCTCATCATCCCGGCGTGATGCGTGTTCACCTCCCTTGGGAGCGGTGAATACACAATGTACAAGACACTATGTATCACACAATACATGTAATCACCCCAACTTTTCAATGATTTTTACCCGGACGCATCATGCAATGCACGCTGCGCACGACGTACACACGGGATCCAAACTTAATTCTGATGGTAAAGTTAAACTGGTCTATATTACAAATAGGACTGGGACCTAAACTGACCAGCCACTCAAACACAACCTACTTCTCATCAAAGAGGTCAGTGATGCTCCAGAGAGAAGTTTCATGGACTCCTGTACATGAGGTGAGAAGAAGGGATCCAGAGCTGTGGGGAACCAGAGTGGACACAGCTCCCTGGTGCACTGTATACACACCTTCTTCCTGCAAGTATGACAAAAAAGTTTTCCTTAGTGTTGCTTAAACCTCCATTCAAAAGTAACTAAAATTACTTCAGACACAGAGTACTGTACATCTCTCTATCAACTTGTAATTTAACTTAAAAATGACTAAAACAAACACACAATCTATTTTGCAGCACTTAAAATATGAAACCCCTCAAGCAAATTTTTCATTTCAACTAATCATTATCTAATTATTATTATTCCAAAATGCAGAACAGATGTTATATACTGTACTGTACAAGATAACACACAATACTCACACTTCCACCTTTACTAAATAATCTCACTTCTCCTCGTGTTGTTCCCACAATAATAAACTGATCATCAGGCTGCAAGGAAACAAAATAGTAGTATAAATGAGACGACCATATAATACCCTACCCTGTTGTCTCAATTAATTACTTCCTCGGGATATTGGGAGTCTCAACACATGAAAAAGTACTTGTCAATACTGAATATAATGAGGAGATTCTAATTTCACGAGGCACTGTTGTAAAGTGATAATTACTGAAAATCAAGATATATTAAATACAAGTTACCATAACAATACTTTCAAATGGCCACTCAAAGTCATAACTGTACTGTATATCACTGCTGCCATTCATCAAGGTGTATAGTAAAGTTGTCAATGAGAGTTTGAACTGTCACCAAAAACAGAGAGCTTATGAGAATGTGTGGCTCAACTGCCTGCATTATGGAACACAAGTGAAAAATTATTGGAGGGAAAGAATTTGGTGGTGGCAGTCACTGATCTTAAAAAAAAAGAAGATAATAGCTGAGAGAAAAGCAATGTGGAGGCCTGAGATTTATAGTTGACATCTACCACCCCACCTTGGTGACACCAGGAAATAGACCCACCACAACCACCACTGTAGAACCATCATTGTAAGTCAAGATGCCAACTGGATTTAAAATCTTCCTACAAAATCATCTGAAAATATTACAAGATCGACAACAGATTGGACATTAGCCAACACCACATTGAAAAATATTACCAATAATATCTTGATAGTAACATGATAACAGTGACCTAACCTAATACTGCAGTGAGAGTTGCTTCTCTGGCCTCCAATAATTGTTTTCGCACTGTGTTAAATAATCATCAGCAAGTTTGTGGCATGTTTAGAATGGCACCACTGTAATAATAAAAGGCTGCTTGTGATACCATTTGGTGTTTTAACCCCTCATACACAAGATCCCCTCTGAGCTGAATAAAATTGTCTGGCATTAACCAAACAAAATATAAATGTAGGGCCACCATAGTAAACGGACAAAGAACACTTCAATGCCACCCCATAAGATAGATAAGGCTGAAACAGTAAATATAAAGAGACGACTCTGTATTTATGTTTCCCTAAGCAGAAGAATGACTCATACTAAACCTCCCACAAAATATTAACAAAAAACTTACTGTGAATTCGCAGCAGAGAAAAATATCATCGTCATCTGTCGGTCTATATGTCTGCATGGGTCGGTATCTACTGTAGATAAACTTTCTATTATTAGATGAACCTTCAAGACCAGTAAAGGGAACATTGTAGGGTCTCTTGGTGTACCGCATTGTGAAGTTAGTTGGGGGCGCTCGTAGTGACTTAGGCTCCGGACATCTGTGTGGTCTGAAAATGAAAAAACAAAACAAATTGTTTACCAAGCTTCATACATTCTCAATATTTTCCTACACATATTAACACTACAGTACACTTATATCACATAAAATCTTCATTACATCAAATAAGGAATAAAAGTTCACCAGTTCCAATTCTTTTACAACACAAGCCATTTGCCTGCTATGGTGTAAGGTGGCCATGCAGACACTGATCCTGTTCCTTAGCATTCAGCAGCTAATTGGTTCAATTGATAGGACACTAGTCTAATTTAATTTCAATGTATTTATACCGTATAAAAAATAAATAAGCAAATAAAACGTGTGAAAAAAAGTGCACCAAGTCGCCCACTCAAAAGAATGAACTGATCAATATGGACGACAAAGATAGTTTGTAGTAGAGTATATAAGCACAATACTTGCAGGTCACATCAGTGTATACAGTATGTTATAAATAGTGGCATCATCAGCCTCCAGATACATTGACATAGTAGTGTCAAGCATACAGTAGTAAAGCTGATCTTTGACCTTTAGTTCTCACATTGATCTTTGACATATTGGTTAAGAGTTGATGTTATACACTCTATCTAACAATAATACATAAGAAATTACAATAAAATAAACTATAATACAGTACTTATACTTTCTCAACACAGGTGTATAAAAATGAAATAACAAAAATAAAATATACTACAATCCATAACAATACTGTACAGCATTATATATATACTTACACCAAAAAGTATCTTTACAGAGAGGTCCAATGAATTTCAAAATGAACACTGACCCCTATTGTCTTGGTCGGGTTATCAAAATCCTTGGTCCATTGTGCCAAATTGTCTCACACAAAATTGTAAAGATACTTTTTGGAGCATGTGTCAGCAGTTGGCTATAAGGCACTTTTTACACTTCCAAAAAGAAGATAATACTGAACTGTAGTTTGAGACACTTACTGGAAAAGGTCAAATGTTGGGCAGGTAACAACTGGGTTTTTGCAGAGTGCATGCTGATTCATGAGATATTCTGTAACAATTCTGTTCAAGCTTATTGTGGGCTCACTGAGCAGTGCTGTGTTGGTCACTACAGGCATTGACATACCAGTATTGCCGATGTTGCCCACAATTGCTTGGTTACAGTTATTACAAGTACTGGGAAGCATCTCACTTTTACTGAAATGACATATATTGTTGGTGTTTGTCAAAGGTGTACCTCTGCTGTCTCTCTTGGTAGCTCTGAAAGGAGGTAAGATATTAGAATACTTCCTATATAAATAATTATTATAATATTTTAAGAACATGAACATTTACATAATCAAAATTCTTTATATCACATCCTTTATACTGTAGTGCAATTAAGTGTCAGGATTCTAGTTTATAAATGTTCTTTGGTCAGTTCTGAATACAATACAAATATTGTGACCATCAAATTTGAGTTTATAAAAAAAAAAGGAGAAATGCAGCAAATAGTTGAGAGTAGGTTTAGAGTCCCATTTACTTATTATGAATATCACAGATGATATGAAACATTACTAATACAATCCCAATTTAACAGAACGATTTTTTCTGTTATTGATTTTCCAATTTAGCGAACTAGTTCGTTGAATCGACTAGAATTCCACTAACTGCAGCTAACTCTGCCAAAAAGGCTGGAAACAGAAGCGAGCGCTTGCTCAATGTGTCAAGTGCGTGTACCGTCTGTCCGCTCTCTGCTTGTGATCATTTTTTGCCCTAAATGTGTTACGAAATCATGCCAAAAGTGTCGCAAAAGTCCCAGAAAGGAAGTGAGCATTTTAACAGAAACTACCCAACTGAACGAACTATTCCGCTAAATTGGGAAATAAATAACGGAAAAGAATTCTCAACTTGATGTAAAGGAAAGGGGGGGGAGGCTCGAATTAGTTTGTAAAATTGATAAAGTACTGTAGTTCAGTATTACATAATGACAGCTATGATGGCATCACCCACCTAACCTTGTGGATCTAAATAACACTTTTTCTTTTACTAAATATATTTATTTATTCTACAATAGAAAAAAGGTGAACAGTTTTTTTTTATGGTGTGCAGGTCTGAGGGTCCACTGTGGAAGCAAGCCAGGCAGCATCCCAGCTGTTAAGGCCAGCGTTGAGAGGGCCAGCTCCCCAAGAACTATGACTCAATGTGTATATTGACTTGTATCCTTTTTTGCTCTTTATAGGCTTTCATCATTGCTCTTTATATGCTTTGTTATCACTCTTTATATGTCAATAATTTTAATTTTTAACAATACTGTACAGTAACACATACAGCTAATTTTAGGGGTGAATCTAGTGATCTAAACAGAGGCTTCACAGCCAGTTGAAGAGAGCTTACTCTTCATTTTATGCATTTTAGGCCTGATGCTCCAAATATAAAATAAAAAAAATAAAATAAAAAATCTGGCAACCCCCAGATCCCAGGCATGCCAGATAAATCTGTGTACATCCATCCTTTCTATAGCCGACGTTACTAACAATACAATCGAGACGACGTGGCAACAGTGCGTCGGCAATACAGCAATGTGGGAACAGAGGCCAAACATCTCAATAGAAATATATAGTTTAAATACTGACAGCTGTAATATTTTAGTGTATTTTGTTCTATGTCTTTTAATGAGTAAGATAATAATTACACAAGTGGTTATGTGAATTTATCATCAAGGGTCACAGATAAACAGCACTTGTTTGTCCCCCGCACCACTACTACGTGGTCGCTCACAAGCTCTGCCAATCTTCCTATACAGTACCTCCCTCCCTCCACCCTCTTCCTATCCTCTCACCTGTTTAGTTTAATGTGTAAGTTTCCAGGACTAGATGCATTGGTAACATTTGATGGACTGGATACTGGTGGCGGGGAAGGGGTAGACGGCGCTACAGCTAAAGTGGCATTGTTGGCGGGAGATGAACCCTTGCACAGCGTTGGTCCAAACAGATGACAAGAACTGCTCCCAGCTAAGATTCGATGCTGGCAAAGAGTAATCATCTACGTCAGAGGAGGAAATTTGGCGGATTATGCAGAAAATGGTGTTTTGTAGGACAGAGTGAACGTGACCTCACTGTCTTTGGAGGATATATCATATAGAGGAAAATAAATATAAATGGGGGAAGTTTTTAATCAATATAAATGGTGGAAGTTTTTAATCAATATAAATGGGGAAGTTTTTAATCAATATAAATGGAGTAAGTTTTTAATCAATATAAATGGGGGAAATTTTTGTGTCCTAGTGATATTGGTGGTAAGAAAAACTCCATTATCTTTTAGGTTTTACAAGAAAACATTTCCATGAATTATGACAAATATAAATAAACACAAAAGAAACTCACTGCTCTGACAGATGGAGGCGGAGTGACCATGTTTCTTGATGGTGGTCCCATAGATGTGTACGGCACAGAGACTGGCAAGGGTGGGAGGTGAGCAGCTTGTTGGAGGGCCAGAGCCACAGCTTCATAACCTTCTTGAGCCAAATGGGTCTGTATTAGGTGTAGCAGTTGCTTTTTATTATAGTTTATTCTGGTCTGAGCCACAACGTCTGCCTGTGAACATAAAAACACAGTTGATATCCCAGTATGGGTTAAAGGTACGGTATGACATTGCAAACAACACCATTTTGATGTTCAACATATTTCAAATGTGACAAAGTGCACATTGTATGACTACATAAAAGACAAAAATTATAAGTGTATGCAAGAGTAAGTCTTTCTTATACACATAGTTTAATACAGTACACTGGGAGTCTTACTCTGTGTATACTCTGCATTGATATGTCTGTAGAAGCATCTCCCTCATGCTTGGTGCGTCCCGATACAGCTTTTATTAATTCCAGGGCATGACGCTGAAACTTAACATGTTCCATCCGCTTGTCTTGTAGAATTGGTTCTTTCATTAACACTGAGGAAAATACAACAGTATACTGTATATTACAATTGTGTAACTCTGATTTTTCTGCTTGCAAGCATACACAACCATGCATGCTAAATACAAAATTGTATGATAAGATCATATTTATTCACTAAAACTCAGCGTTTGAAATAGAAATACACTTGCCTCTGGGATAAAAATAACCCAATCTTTTAGAAAGCTATAAAAGTGGGCAGATTGATCAGCAATATTCTTAAAACTTAAAGTACAGTACCCAATTATTTTCATTAAATAACACTAACACTGCAACTGTCCAGCGGTGAAGATAGGCAACTTGCTCATGATCTGTCGGGCGGCATAACTTCTTGAAAGACCCACAAGAGCTCTACAGGCAAGTCCTCTGATGCAGTCAGCATCTGTGATGGGCATCTTCTTGTGGAGGACATTCAGCAGGTACTAAAATTATTAAAAACAAAAACATTAATTTCTCATTTGCATGTTCAAAAAGTGTAACTATAACTACAGTGTTTGTAAGAGCCAGAAACATCAGGTCAACTTTAATATTCCATCAACACACCAGAGAGCTGCCACAATACTTACCATAATACCATTGCTTGTTCTAACACAGTCCCAAGCCTTATTGATATAGTCTTCACCATTACTTGTCTTCTTTTTACCCGGCGTTGTTGATGCACTGTGTCTACCAATACTGCTTCCCGGCTGCAGGATATTCTATGTTCAGTTTGATATAGTATAATATAGGGTTGTAAGAGAGTAAAATTATACATAACCAGAAATTAATTCTTGTGGGGTATAAACAAGTATGTTTGGGTACCTTTAAACATGTATAGTATGACCCAATTCACAATACTACAACCATTTAAATAAAAATAAAAGTAACGTACCATAAATACTCTTTATAAGAAGGTAACATTTGCATTCAAAGTACAATAATATCTCCATCAGCCGGAATCCCTCAAAGCCGGAACTCTCCAATAGCCGGAATTGAAAATTTATCGGAAAATAGTTCCTAAAAGCCGGAAATTTCCGGAAAATTTGGGATTTGGGAATGATTTTCTGAGGGGCACATTTTCTCGAAAATTCTGAGAAAAAATTTCAGAACCCGGAAAATTCCAGGGATGGGGGATATTTTTCCGGCTTTGATAGTCGTCTCATTTCCCGGAAATCTCTCATTCCTGGAAGTGGTCTGCACCAATTGTTCCAGCTAATAGAGATATCACAGTAACATAATTTGTAGGTAGTAGGCAGCTATCAAACAGGGAGGTACTACCGCCTGGGAAGATATTGGAAGCATAATGTGTTGTCTAATGGTAGACCCTGCTGCCATATGGCATCACGAAAATTGTGACCAAGTCCCAGGTTGCTGACCTGACTTTCTGCCTCATTTACACACAATTGCAGGGTCTCAATTGTTTCTCTTACTATTGACAACACAACATACATAATGTACATATCGTTTCTTATTCTTGATTAATTATTTTTTGTTTTTGTATTTATTTATGGTTATTATTATTATTTGTAGTATTTTATTTTTATTTTTATTATTTTGTTATTAATTTGTAACAATTATTTTAATAATAATAGTTATTATTATTATTATTATAATATCTTCGCCCCCCAGGCCCCGATGTGGGTCAGTGACCTGTGCCCAGGTGGACTAATCCTCGTGTGGTACAAAAAAAAAAAAAAAAAAAAAATGGCATATGGGGGTTAAGGAGCCTTAACCCTTTGGCTGTGGGAGGTTCCCCTAAGCTGAATAAAATGGTCTGGCAGGAGCCAGAAAAAATATTAAAGTGCAGGAAGCAGAGAGAATGGGTTAAATAAAAGAATGATCCCATCTACAATATGAGTTCATAAAAATTTTTAAAGGTAGTTAAACATTCTCATTCATCATCATTCTCATTCATCATCAGATATCATACTTTATGCTACACACTACACCAGTAACTGCAGTTTATACATAAATTGGCAATGGTGGGCAAGCCTGGTGTGTAGCAGGGTTGATAACACACACTGCAAGAACCACATCCATAATGTAAGTTTTTAATTAAAGATAGAGTCAGTTATGAGTTTACCTTTCATGAACAGAATAAAAGTGACTATTAATTTTGCCCTTCACATCACCTCATACAGTACCTCTGTGGTCAGCCCTGACACAACTGAGAAAGGTTATATGTGCTGCACAACACCAGGAGAACAACTGAGGTAAACTCAACACTGAGGGATGGGTTTATTAATCCATGTTGAGACATATTGATCAAAGGTTTGGAATACTGTACATTTTATCCCTTTGTACCCCTGAAAAATTACACCAGACTGTAACAAATAACATCATTTACAATACAATATCAACGAGTGATTTCAGTATGAGTATACTTGGGGGAAATTGGTACAGTACTGTACAATATTTAACTGTGGTTGTCACTCAACTCTCTGCTGATTTCATCATGTTGTGTAATGCAATTTTTGTGGTATTAATATTCATGCTATATTGTGGCTAGATAGTATACAGTATAGCAGTAATAATCATTAATGTACTATATTAATATAGTCTATACATTTTTACAATTTGCCCTGCAAAGAGGCTAGTTTATTGGGCACCCCCCTGCATTCTATACATTAATAAAGAATGTTAATGACTGCCACAGTACTGTAATACCTCAGATTTAGAGTACATTTTACATTAAATTATAACCCTATACAACTTCAGTTTGTTGAACTTTTCACATATGTGAACAAAACCACCAATCAATGCTTCACAAATGCTCTCCCTGAGCAACACATCTCATAACCACCAGGTTACCCAGCCTGCCATAACCACTTTACAAACAATACTCCTCCACCATTGAGCAACTAGAATGACTGCCAGCTGAATCAACCTGATATATTTCATAATTTATTACACAAAACTTTTTACAATTCATAACTTCATATTTTGCAATCTGACATCTATCAGAATTTTTTTTTAATTCCAAACCCTAAGCAGCTCTGGTAACAGAGGGCAGTCAATTGTTTTTTATGTCCTCAGTCTAAGCCCTCACAATGCCAGTCAGTTAATCCATTTGGGTGTATCAATAACCCTGCCCTACTCATTACAGAACACAGCCTATATTGAGGTGGACTTAGTAAAACAGTTACCCCTAAAGGTCTAAGTTCAGCCATTTCTGCCCAATCAGCACACACCATGTCAAGACTACTGCTGGCCATCTTTGGTTTGAAACCAAACTGTATTCTACTCAGTTCCAGATGACTTATCACAGGCCCAATGGAGGAAACAGTTTCCAAACTGTCTGGCTCTGCCAGAAAAGGGGATTTCAGGATCAATCCTCCACTTTTATCCAAGTAACTCTTGTAATACAGTACTATGTCAGCCAAAACTCAAGAGCTGGACATGCACCCATGACAGAGTTGATCAATCATCATCACAGGCTTGGGAGGTTATTTCTCCCCAACTCTCATGCCATGCAGGTCTGGTATTAGCCTCACCTTTCTGGGAGATAATATGTGATTGAAATCCAATGCCACAATTAAAATCAGAGCATGACATAATATGTCATTTTATGTTCTGCATAGATAACACAGATGAAATTATTTTCAATAAGTGACCTGCACACATATCAGGCAGGTAAAAAATAAAGCTGTTGACAAAACATATACTGTAGTGTACTGCACCAGTGATCCACAGAAGTCCCACAGAATAACTGAGTGACTCCTCTGCAGTAAGATTTGTGCAAGTAAATCTTCACAGCTGGTTGATGGCAAAAGATATATGACCAAATAACTATTAAAACAAACTTTTGGAGGACTTACTCGAAAGATAGGTGCACAAAGACAATTTATTAGGACATTTAATGCTGCCTTCTGGACCTCAGGAGATGTGGTCATGGACTGCGTATTCTCATGGATACACGCTACCAAGATCGCATATCCTGGAACTTCCTGAAATTGAAATAAATTCAAAATTCAGACACAGTACAAATGAGAAACACTTCTTATAGATTATGGCTGTAACTATATGAGCTTCACCTTGAGAATACCTATTAGGTAAATACAAAAAGCTGAAAATAAAGTAAAAAAAAAGAAGAAGAAAGATTACAGAACATTTCAAAGTGGAGAAACAAGTGTAACAAGGAGGTATACATCACACTGTTATATGTCCTTTACTCAGGTTAATGGTCAGCAAAGAGTTACTGATAAAAGAATTAGTATTGGAAGAATGCTGTTAAACAAGGATTACTGAGTTATAAGTGATGGTCAAGGAATTTGGAAGTAATGTACACTCGCTCCCAAAGAAGCATCTTTACGATTTGGTGTGAGACAATACGACACAATTGACGAAGGATTTTGACAACCCTACTGAGACAACAGGAGTCACAGTGTTCATTTTGAAATTCATCAAACCCCTCTGTAAAGATATTTTTGGAGTAAGTGTACAGTCTCGTTCAAGATTCTTCGAACACTGCTGGAGACACCTGGCAACTCAAAGTCGTTTGTTTACTATAGTACGTAGTAAAAAATATGAATGAATGTAAAAGTGATCGGTGATTGGTTACTTAGTTCCCCGTTCGAAGAATCTTGTATGAGACTGTACCATAGGGGGCAGTGAAATTTTGCTCAAAGCTGCACTCTTCAGGCATTGTTCCTTATACATATCTAAGACTCCATGCCAAATTTGAAGCTGATATGTCGAGGTTTAGTCTGCCGCATTTTCTATTGAAATTTTTAAATTTACCTACAGTACTAGCCAAACAGCCGCTGTGGTGGTGCAATGTTCTGTTCAGTGTTTATCAACTTTTTTTTCATATCTCTTATTTCATTTAAGTTGTCTTGTTGCAGATGAGTATGGTGCTATGTCTATATTGATTATCAGCCTTTTCTCATTTCATTATGTCATCATGGTTGAGCCTGGCAATGAATATCTCACACATGTGACTCCCAAGACTGGACACGGAAAGCAGATTGCCAAAACTATTCACGAGTTTCTGGTGGAGAAAAATCTAACCCAGCAGCCCATTGTGTGTGTTGGTTGTGATGGAACCAATGTAAATGTAGGATCAGAAAATGGAGTCATTCATCATCTTGAAATGTTACTTGGTCACCCGCTCCATTATTTCATATGTCAGCTTCACGGAAATGAGCTGCCTTTCCGCGCAGTTTTTTATCACTATGATGGTAAACCAAGTGGTCCTGAGCATTGGCGTGGTCCCATTGGAAAGCAGATCAAGGAGTCTTTGTCTGAGCTTCCAGTTGTCGCCTTCCAGCCAGTCAGTTTCCCTGATTTCCCTGTGTTTAATGATGAAGTGGAGAAAGATCTGTCCTGGGATCAGAAATACCTGTATAGGATTTGTAAAGGAGTTATCACAGGTGTTGTTGAAGATGACTTGGCTGCTATTGAGCCAGGTCCTCCCTGTGTGTCAAGGTGGAACACCTTATGGAGTAGAATCCTCAGGCTGTATGTAGCAACATCAAGACCCAGCCATGAGTTGAAAAGAATTGTCATTACAATAATAAAGTTCAGTGCTCCAATGTGGTTTTACATCAAGATACACCCTTACGTAACACACGGCTCAAGGAACGTATTCCAGTCCCTGCTATATATGAAACACCTGAATAGTGAGGAGGAGACGATAGTGAAGAAGGCTGTCCAGAGAAATGCATACTTCGCCCACACAGATCAACTTCTTCTTGGTATGTGTGCAGATGAGGACATGACTGTTAGAGAAAAAGCTGTCTCAATGATAAGAAAAATTAGAGAGGAGAATCAGCAAAAGGAAGAATGCACTGGCAGATCTGAAGAGGAGGAGGAAGATTCTGATGCTGCTGTTGACGAGAATTTGTTAAACTATACTGATGAGGAGGGTAAAGATGGAGATGGGAATGAGGATGTGCCTCCTGTAGTCAACATGAGAAAGGTGGTGACTCCGAAACTAAAGTGGCAAGCAAAAAACTATCATTCCATGATTAACTGGAGGAATGAACTCAAGACTGAGCCTCCTTACATTGCTTCTCTGTCAAATCTACAGGTTAATGACATTCTTGAGACACCATTAGTGGTGCCCAAGTGGCCAAACAGCACTCAGGCGGTCGAGAGAGGCATAAAAGTGATGACTGAAGCTTGCACTGAAGTGACGGGATACGAATCGAGAGATGGATATATTAGGCAAAGATTATTGTCTAGGAAAATGATGCCAAGGTTCCGCACAAAAAAGAATTTCAATATGAACTTGTAATGATTTTCTATACGGTGTACCTGTAAAATAACATGTGAATTAAATCGATGTCACCCATGTAAAATTTATCATTATCCTGGAAAACATTAAATGACACCTAATTTTTGGTATACACTAAAAGTTGACAAAAAGTCGTTCGCGATGCGGCAGGGTAAGTATGCATGAAATGGAATGAAATTTTGCACAGGTGTTTGTTACAGCCATACAAACGATGCCTGAAAAGTGCAGCCTGCAACTCAAATAAGAGTGTTTTTCCCTGCCCCCTACTGTACCATACATGCAAAAGAGAAAAATCTTCACTTACTGTACACTACTGTTAACTAATGACCTGTATTGTACCACTGAAGAATTTTTCTGGCAGGATAGCTTCAATATTGTCACTGTACAGTAAGACTTCAAACTTTATGATATTGATTCTAGCCAAAACTTAATTGTTAAATCCAAATTTCTGGTAAATTCAAGTTTATGTTAGGCCACTCTTGCTAAGACACATTATTACAACATGCATTTCAGTATGGTACTGTACTGGCAAAATGAATATAAAATGATGGTACTTATATGTACTGTACACATCCACTTGTTCAAGGATACACAAGGCATCTTATCACTGAGGTCTTCTACCCACAACTCAACTCACCCCTGGCATATATAACAGCCATATTTCTAAGTACAGTAAAAACCTTGCCTTTCGCGGGTTTGCATTTCATGATTTTCACTATTTGCGGTAAGCAGATGGTGGCCAGCTTGTGAGCCTCTCCCGCAGCTCAACGAGTCACTCCACGCAGCGTCTCCTCTCCTTCTGTTTGCACTCAACCATTGGCTGTGATGCAGCATCTCGTGTTGTACTCTCTAAACTTTAGTGTTTGTGTGTGAAAATGGCACCTAAAAGACTGCCTAGTGTCAGTATGAGTGAAATGTAAAAAGCAGAAGTCAGTGATGACCCTGACAAAGAAAGTTGAAATATTACACAGGTTAAAGGAAGGGACGAGTGCTGCCGAGGCTGGTCAGTTGTTTAGTGTGAACGAATCCACAGTGAGGTATATAAAGAAGAATGAACAAGCAATTCATGATCCTGTTCAAGCGAGTGCTCCTGCAAGTGCCAAAGTGGTGCAGGCTGTTTGTGACAAGAACATAGTAAAAGCAGAAAAATCATTTAACATTTGGGGTGAGGACCAGCACCACAAAAATGTTCCGATCAACAGCAATGTGATTCATGAGAAGGGTAAGAGTGAAGAGGTGGTGAAGGGGCTACTGAACCAACTGTTAGTGCCAGTAAAGGATGGTTTGAGAATTTTAAAAAGATTTTCTCTCCATAATGTGGAGCTGACTGGGGAGGCTACATCAGCTGACCACACAGCCGCAGATATATTTCCCGCAAAGTTAAAGAAAATAATAGAAGAGAAACGCTATAGACCAGAGCAAGTTTTTAATGCTGATGAATATGGTCTATATTGGAAAAAATACTGGGTAGCATGTACATAAACGAGCAGGAGAGGCGTGCCCCTGTGTTCAAGGCAGCCAAGAACAGAGTGACGCTGATCTTCTGTGGCAGCGCAGCTGGTCACATGATTAAACCTGGCTTGCTTTACTGCTCAGCAAACCCTAGGACTTTAAAGGGTAAAAACAGGAACCTTTTGCCAGTCAAACATTAAGTCATGGGTAACTGTGCAAGCATTCCTGGATTGGTTCCATAAATGCTTCATCACGGAAGTGGAAAAGTGCCTTGCTTCCAAGAAGATGGAGTTCAAGGTGCTATTATTGATAGAAAATGCACCAGGCCTCCCAGAAAGTTTGCAGTTTAGCCATCCAGGTGTAGAGGTGGTGTTCCTACCCTCTAGCACCACTGCTCTTATGCAGCCTCTCGATCAGGGTGTAATACGCACCTTCAAGGCATATTACAACTGACACTTTTGGTCGTATCCGTAATGTCATGGACGCAGACCCTGACCTTGATGTTAGCAAGTGTTGGAAGGAGTACAGCATTGTGGACAGCATTACCAACATCAGTGAAGCATTCAATGAACTCAAATCAGAGACAGTGAATGCTTGTTGGTGAACCTTATGGCCTGAGTGTGTGAATAATGTCCAGGGATTTCCGTCCACAGTAAAGGACGTGAATGACATTGTGAGTGTTGCATGTCAATTGGGTGGTGAGGGGTTTGTGGACATGGCCACTGAAGACGTGGAAGAGCTGATTGATGGGCATGGAGAGGAACTGACAGAAGAGGATTTGAAAGAGTTGGTAAAAAGTGCTGAAGAAGATGAAGCTGAAGAAATTATAGAAATGCAACAATTTTGGTGAACTATTTCGACATGCGAAGGTGGTATCTGATTTCATTGTTGACCACGACCCTTCCATGGAAAGGAGCCTGAAGATGGTCCAAGGAATCAGCCAGGTATTGTTTCCCTACCAGGAAGTGTTTAAAGTCCTCAAAGCCAAGAGGAAACAACTAACAATCACGATGTTTTTCAAGAAAGAACCAGCTACTACAACCGCCGCTCCACCCTCCTCCTCCCACCCGCCTCCACTGCATCACCCTATGCTTCAGTAACCAGATGTCTCCCTATGTGCAGTAAACCACTTCATTGAGTTCCAAACTTCCACATCCCAATGTATTGTATTTTACGGCATATAAGATGCACTTTTTTGTGTGAAAAATGGATCAAAATATCAGCCCATGTCCTATATGTGGTGGTCCGGGTTTATACCGGCACTCAAAGGTGATTACTGTTTACACTAACTTTTTTATATTGAATGACATCTACTACTAATGACTACAGTACAGTGCTACTAGCCACATGCAGCACAACACAACCTGACCTTGGGAGATACAGTATTGGTGTTGAAATACCACTTGGTGGCTGAATTAAAACACCAATATGTTTTAGTTCAGCCAAATATTTGTACAAATTTTAAGTTACACAACTTTTTCCAAATGGTCATCAGTGACTTGTTTTCTTTATCATTACTATGAGTTAACACAGACCACACACTTGGGCCCTCTTGACTCACTACACACACAAAATAAACAAATATGTATGTGTATTCCTGTACATGTATGTATGTATGTGTGTATACATGTCTATGAACAAAGGAACAATTTAAGCATTAAAACTAATACTGTTACAGTACAGTAGTGTATCTTTGTTTCACTGATGACCCTAACCTAGTAGACTCCTCACCCAGGAGAAGCCAGCCTATTAAAAAAAAAAAATTAATTAATTAATTAATCAATATTACTGTGTCAAGAAATATTCACACCTGAGGGTCAAGTGTCTGGAGAAGATCATCACTGGCAGGAGTGGTGAGCTTATCACACAGAGCACCCTGAACGATGGGCATAACACTGCACACATACAGTGTATCCAGTGCAAATACTGCAGTCTCTGTCCTGGAGGAGGCAAAACAGTACAGTACATGGATGAATTGTACAGGATATCAAATTATTTACATACATACAGTAATAATATAATATTCTATAAGCATCTAAACTTCTCTTTGTCCTACCATCCACTTCTTAATTATATTTTATTAATATAATCATAAAAAAACACTACTATTACTTCTCTACAGACTATGGAACATGAGGAACTTACTTAGGGCTGAAGGATTCAGTGAGCACCATTGTCACTAGTTGTAGTAAGAGCTGTACGCCTTTTAGGGAAACAAGCTGTTCTACGGGCTTCCATCTCGCTCTATGTGGAAGGTGTTCCAATAGATATTCTACATTACGTTCAACCACTTCTACCGTCACATTCACAGCCTGTCAAATGTATAATGCACTATTATGTTCCTCCTGTAACTTCACAGAAAAATAACTCCAAAAAAATCTCACACTGGATACCTGTGTAAGCAATGAATATTTATGCTCTACATAGTTTACAAATTAAAAAAATATATATATATAAATCTTGAATCCCCTTTAATGTACTATACCGGTATATACTGTATAGGTTAGAGCCCCAATTGCATCCGTTACAAGCCGTTTCGTTCACTCTGATCCACACATACACAGATCCTCATTCACCAGTCTTTCCCTTACACCAGTTCTCTGTCTCATACAAGTGTAATCATTCTCATCATTTCAGGTTCAATCATTCTAACCACATACTGTACATCATCTCCACACATTCCCATCTTTATAGGTTAAATCATTCTAGTCATACACATTATCTCCAGTAGTCTTATATCATTTCAATGCCCCATATTATCTTATCATTAATTCCCTTCACGATACATTTAAAGTCATTATATACACCACAACTGTTCTCTCAGCTCCATGTTTAAGAAACTAGTATGAAAAAGTATGTGGTATGTGGTGTCCTTATCGCCTTGTTCTCGCACTACTGTCCCTAATTATTTCCCTCCCTTTTCTCATAAAGTTCCTATATCCTTGTACTTGTCCATCATCAACCTCGCACAGCACACACCAAACATCTGAACTCTCATACTCAGCCTCGGTTCTACTTCATCTCTCAAAGAACCCTCAGTGATGTTGCCCTCCTCTCCCCACATATGATAAGTTTCTTCTAAGATGCAGTAAAGGTCTTCTCAAAAATCACCACCTTCGCTACACCCTAAAACACAAGGCACTACAGTACAGTGAATCTATCTCTTTAACTCAGTCAATCAAACAGTATGGACAGCCAACACGAACACTGATAAATTGAGTCCCGTGTCACATTGATTCTTCAGTATGTTTCATTCGTTCAATTTCACATGAATTATATACAGTACGGTATAAGTATACAGTATATATAAACATAAATACCAGAGACTATTGAAAGAAAACTTAAGCCATATGAAGTATCCAGCTTGCATTCTTTAGATACATAACTGGTAAAAACATCTTGTTTCTTTGCACACAAATTATATTTTTTCTAACATACTGTACAGTCCTATAATACCACTTCTGTAACCTGTACATCACTACTCATCAAGTGTTTCAAGTAATCCTTCCACCCCCTATTAACTACTACAGTATCTCTCATCAACACACACTGCCATTATGTAAGTAGTCGTTTTTATTTTCACAAATGTGTACCTTCTTCCTGAGTACAGTATTATGATCCACTACACTTCACAATAATACCTTGTAAGCTGGTGATGAGTGCTGCTGTGCTGAACCATGTTCTCTGACTGTCAGCCTTTGCAGGTGTTGAACTTTCAGAGCCAAGTGAGATTCAAAATAATGTTTGACACTCAAACACACTTGCTTCACTGTTTGCCACATGAGCACTTCATTTGGTTCATCAAGAATATCTTGTTCCCAAACATCTTGGAATAGGGAGAGTGTGGACACCATATTCAAAACCTTACGAAGGCCATCTTGTTCATCGAATCTTTCTAAAATTGCTCTAAAACGGAAGACCATTCCAAAGAACATGACTGAATGAGTTCTAGAAGACTGGTGTGAGCATTCAAGAAGCCATAAGGCATAGCGAATTAATTCACAAAGTACATTATCTGGCAGGAGACAAATTCTCTCAACAGCTTCTTCACAATAAGCAAGATACCAGAGGCAAAGTGCTACACCATCTGCTGGAAGAGACGGACGGGGGACCTGACAGAAATAAAGGAGATTGTTTATTTGTGTACATTATAAGTAATACTGTACAGTGCTACACTCGCAATGCAACTGCAATGAATCTTTATATCAATGTAAGTAACAATTTAAACCCACACTGCTTACATGAAAAACATGGCCTAGATCTCACCTGCAAAAGCTTTTGCACACCACCCATGTTGACAAACTCCAGGCAAAATTTCTTGTGGAAGAGAAGAGACCCAAGGAAACGTAAGCCTTCAAAAGAAAGGCGAGCATTTCCAGTTTTTCTGACATTCATGTAGTGGAAGATCAATTCTAGAGCATTGTGTTCATATACATTGCCCAGAGACTGTGAAGAGAAATTATTACAGATACACATGGTGCATTTAAAACACACACACACACACAGTGGTCCCTCGGTTAACGAACGGTTCGATTAACGAATTAGTTCCCATAAGGATTTTCAGTTCGGTTAACGAACAAAACTTCGATTAACGAAATCCTTACGACAAACACGTTTTGTTGAGAGCATCAGCTGATGGGCCAGTCTGCCAATTCAGTGATCTGTTCTATGTTTACATTCATTTTCAGTGAAGTAAATATAAAAAAAGTTGTGCTCTTTAATATTTTTGCATTTTTTATATTAAAATTATTAGTCATTTTAAAATTTAGTTAACATATTGATAATACATGCAGTACAGGGAACTAGTTTTTTGTGCGCCCATCAGCCGCTTGACTCACCCCCCCCAGGCGTCAGTTTGGCTTTGTTTACAGTGGAGTGAACATCGATTTTGTTGGCGTCTTGAATATTTTTGCATTTTTGCATTAAAATTATTGGTCATTCTGAAATTTAGTTAACATATTGATAATATATAGCACAGTGCAGTGTTGATTTAAATAAAATAATCTTGAATTACACCTAGTGAACTTAAAATTTTATTGGTGAAATGACTGCATCAAGCATGGGTCCCTGAAAGGTGATTTCTCCTCCATCCCCACTTCCTTCTCCTCCACCCCCACTTGTAATTCCCATCATCATCATCAACCAGGAGCCTTCTACATACACACCTCAAAGTAAGTGTACTTTACTGCATTTATTTACTTTGTAGTATGTACTTTTCTGTGAGCTGGAACCAATTACCCAATATCCCATTGAAACAATGGATTCGGTTAACCAAATTTTCGGTTAATGAACGACTCTGTGGAACGAACTGTGTTCGTTAACCGAGGGACCACTGTATATATATACATATACAGTATATATATATATATATATATTGTATAGGCAATTTGTTTATTAGTTGGAAAAACTTCAGACTATGATAAATTAAACAAATAGAGTACTGTATATTATCTTCAAACTACTGTACTGTCTGTACTGATGATAACCAAAATAAAAACAAGTTCTTTACCTCCTGGTATTCACCAATGGGTCTGAGATATTTAAGGACAAATATTTGCTGGGTGTCACGAGTCATAGGAAACATCTGGTACGTCCCTACTATGTAGCTGCTTAATTCTGCCCAAGATGAATTAGAGCAGTCAGAGTTGAGAAGAGGATCACACGATTCCCGAGCTTGCTTAGGGGAGCCAAAGATGTTGAATGTTGCACTAGTGTTGGAGTTTTTGGGAGGGGTGGCACAAGAGTGTGAATCTGAAACAATAAACATCACAAATCATCATCAACCATCAAGGAATAAATTTTTAGTCACATCATTTAGCCTTCACTTAAAGAGTAAAAAATACAAGAACAAATTAAATCCTAACCTGCTGACTTGTAGCAAATCCTTCATGGAATAGTAATTCACTATTATTTTCAAGTAAACAAAAGAGTAAAAGATTTCTCCCTAAATGGCCAGATACTTAATACAGGTAGAAAGTCTGTGGCAGCAATATTAACTAAACTATAATTCCTTGAGACCATTCAGTGATAAACATCTCCACTCAAGTCCTCATAAAATAATAAAACAAAGTCACCTCATAATTAAACACCCCAAAGCTATCTGGTGGGGTTAGGTTTCTTAGGGTGGCTAATCTTAAGGTGAAATAAGCTGGGTGGTTAATATAGATGGGACGCCTCCCCTCCCCCCCAAAATAATAATAATAATCACACGTTAAATGATTCAATAACCTATACGTATTTAACTCCTTGTGTGTACAGTACAGGGTCTCCTCTCTGATGAATATAGTAGTCTGACATTTACCAAATAATATTAAAAATGGTGTCCCCGTAGTGAAGGATTTATGAGGCAAAGAAATATAACCAAGAGGTAGACAAAAATATGAGGAACAGCAGGAGAAAATAAATCCCGATGATTATATTGAACACTAAAAATCATATAATAGAGCATAAAACAATTTTCAAACAACGTACTTTTTATATTTTTGGGAGTGGACTCAAGAGCATCACTCGCATGTTTGGCTTCTTCTCCGTTGGTGAGAGGCGCTGTACTGATGGACTCACTGTTAAGGTGTGCGAACGGTCTCTCTGGCACATGTGATTTACTGTTTTTGTCTTCTTCCCCTCCACCACCTGAATCAGAACATCCTTTAGGTTAAACTTCATAAAAAAAAAGATCCATAGACCCACATAAACCTTAAAATTCAACCGTGCCAAACAAAATTAGGATTCAAATTTGGCAGAAGTTGAGGAATTAAGAAAAAATGTAATGGTTACTAATATTAAAAAAAAAATAATAATAATATATACACAATTTATGCCTTTCCAGTCATTCATTATCTGAGTAGTGTAGTATACTTTGGCCAGGTCTCACCACACTTACCTTTATCTTTAAGCTCCCACAACCTTTTCAGCATAATAGGTACAAGATGGGTGTTGTAATCCCTGAAAGAGGCTGCTATCTCCGGTATATCCATAGCTGCCGCAAGAAGGCCGGTAGCATAAGTGCGAAGAGGTTCTGGTCCTTTCTCTGCCCATGAAAACAGCCGCATAACAGTTGTCTCGGATTCGTTAAATACCTGGAAAAATTATTCCCTCTTGATAAAAAATGTCAGTACAATCCACTCATGAACAAAGAGCGCTGTACAGATAAACACGAGCTAAAATTAGATGTAAAATGATCTTGACACACTGCCAACAACTCTCAAACAATACACAAAACACTCCTTCTTGACCCATGACAGAGACCAGGTTAGGTGATCCTTTGTACAGTCACCCAAAAAAGTCCTGTCGCGAACCACGAACCCCGAGATTCAGACTCGTGAACCCGAAGCAGCAGACACTGGCACATTATTCTGTCCATAAATGCTTCGGATTCAAGAGTCTGAATCTCGGGGTTCGTGGTTCGCGAATGGACTTTTTTGGGTGACTGTACATTTGGTAAAAATAATAGTTTTCCTTATTCTTTCACACCAGAGTGCTCTTACCCTCTTACTAGTAACCTAACATTAACTCCTTGTGTATGGGTTCCTGCTGAGTTAAATAAAATTGTCTGGTGTTAGCCAAATAAAGTATCAAGAGTGACGCCTCCACAGTGAAGGTGTTAAGCACCGAGTCCTAGATGATGGGGGTTTTAATAGAGAAGTTAGCTCTTTAACAACGTATCAATAAAATAATACAATAAGTGTAAATTGGGACTGAATGAACTAAAAATTACTTGGGTATGTAGAATAAAAATGTCCGAGGTTACCAAGTAATTGCAAAGGTAAATTCTGTTTCAGGAAAATTATGAGGCATAATCCACAAGCATTTTGGTCACCAGCTTGAAAAGGTCATTCACCAGTGATGAAAATGAAGACTACATACAATCGACCCTCGTTAATTCGGACTAATAATTGTCCGAATTAACCGATTTAGGGGTTAATATTGCATTATATTTCAAAGTCATTGTTTTCGTCAGGATTTTATCCCACTTTCCACTGTAATACGTACATAATTTCAGCAAAAATATTACATTTCCGTGAATGTATTATATCAAGCACAGTATGAATAGAATATCATTGTAATATAACAGTATTTTAACCGAAAACTACTAAAAAAACGAGTAACATATCAAGAACATTGGAAGGTTAGGTAAAGTCTTGTTTTCGTCATGTATTTTATCCTATTTTACATTGAAATACATCATGTTTCAGCAAAACTACTATTTATTTCCAAGAATATATTCATTCAGGCACAGTTAAGGTAAAATATACATGTGATGTAACAGTTTTTTAACTGAAAACGATTCGAAAAACACGTGTACCGTGTAGCTGATACTCAACAGCTGGTGGTGCGTCATGTGTCGTTGTAAACAATAGGAGGTTGAAGTAGATTACTGGGTATTATATTAAGTGTGAAATATCAAAAAGGTTTTTATTACCGGTATTTTTTGTAGATCAATGAGAACTGTGATACCGTATATGATATGATAAGTTAGCCTGTGCTAAGAACTTCAACATAGACTACTGTAAGGTAATTTAGCCTATTATAAGTTGGTGAGCTTCATTTGCTGAAGGAACTGCACAACTTTTCATTACTAATTGGTACATATTTTACGTTTCCATTGTTTACTGGCAGTAAATGGTAAATATTTTTCATGTCTGAAGCTAAAAGTTGCATCCCCCCCCCACACTAGTGGTGATGTTACATTTAACCAAAAAGATGCTGGTGTTTTATCCCAGCAGTGGGTGGACCAGCATTTTAGCTTAAGGTCCGCGTACATGATATTCCTACAAATCTAAAAAAATAAAAAATAAAAATAAAAATAAATAAATAAATAAATAAAAAAGTTCAGATTTTGTCCAAATTATCCGAAATCCGGATTAAAGGGGTCCGAATTAACGAGGGTCGACTGTATTGCTCTTATCACTGCAACAGTCAGAAGGACTCTCATCTTTCAACCAGAGTAAACACATGATGACTTCTGTAGTGTATTATATGCTAATGCTACGACAAAATTTTTTTAGTTTTAATCTCAGTCACTTGAAATCGCCATGCATTATCAAAATTAAGGCATTAACTGACAATTTCTGGAGTATTTTGTGAATGAAAAGTCAGTGGACCTAAAGTTTATTCCTGGTGTGAGCTTAAAATTGTATATACAGGCATTTTGAAAATTTTGAAGTACAGTATAGTAACTTACATGTACGTACTGTACCTGGTGATGGGCTTTTAAACTAGTGAAAAGTGTCAGTCAGTGGCTCAAAATGTCATCGCCAATACAGACCCAGAAGCCCAGAGTACAGTACAGTACAGTTCAATACAGTAGTAAATAAAGCCTATCTTACCTGAGGGATATCAAGGCCATAGAGCAAGTCTATCAGCAGACGACACGCTGCTGTGTTAAGGTCTGTAGAGTCTTGTGTCAGGCCCAGGCTAGAAAAGTAATTCTCACGCAAGTAGTGATTAACTAATTTTGTCACAAAATTTTCCTTTTTAAAGAGGGCACGTAGAATTTGTCCCAAAGCACATTCTGGTTCAGAAGTCACTGGATGGCGATCATCAAATGGGTCTGGGTCCTGGAAAAAGAAAAAAGGTATCAGCACACTAGATTCTTGTAATCAGAAAAAAAACTGTTGTTTGACATTTCTCAAGTATTAGTGAAAAGTGAAGGTCTTTTTCTAAGACAGAAGAAAAATATGAAAATTCTTGCACTTGGAGTTGTGCAAGTTTACAGCAAAGACAACATAAACTGGAGTGCCAAGAGAAGATTCGCAATGTTACACACAATGAGGGAGGCAAGCAACTATATGAAGGGGAACTTATCCATCCTCATAAGGAGAGCTTTTTGCAAATCTCAAGATAAAATTGTTATCTGATGAATTCTGAAAATTTAATATTACAATCAATCTGAAAATTTCAAAACCCAGACAACTGTACACACGAGAACCCTTTAAAGAAAAAGAAGTTTGATGCTACCGGCTCTCGCTCCCCAGCACAAGTTGCAGTAATCCCAGTGTTTTCACACTACCTGTACTGGAAAGCATCCATACTAAAAATGAGTTTCTTTGATTTACATAATAATACAGTACAGTACACCTTATTCTCTCCAGTAGCTACCTAAAGACAAGATAAAGATACAAATAAATTATAGATAAATCAAAATCAGCTGCAATAACCTTATTTTCTGCCTAATTTCAAGCATTGATAAACACTCAGCTGTTATCACCCTAACAATGCACATTCTAGCAACAGGTGTTATCCAAGTGCACAAGTTTTTTTTAAACCACAACAAATGCAGAGAATGATCAGAGTACACACATCAAAATGGTGATTATGGCTTTAGTCTCTATTTATATTCATACAATGATAGAGGTTAACCCCAAAAATTTTCATAAATAATGAACAAAGTCAATGGGACAGAAGCACTTTATTTTAGCTCAAAGGTACCGTACCATGCTATTATTTCTTACTTTTTTAAGGAAGTTAAAAGTTTCTCTTTCAAATAGTTCACAAAGTTTGATGAGGTGGGGTGTTGGGTCCTTGGATGCAACAGACTGGTCCTCCTCCCACAAACGAAGGATTTCTTGCAGCTCCTGAACGATGTCGCGATTAGAGCTTGGCATTGTGTCGGTTCTGTGTTTTTCCTAGAATATGAAAAATAACCACAAATACAACGGTAATTATGAAGAGTAGAATCATCCAACCTACATTATGGGAGAGAAAGGTGGAACAATACATTAAGGAGAAAACATGTTAATGGAGTAGGCAGGCGAGACACTGTACTGTACAAGTGTTTACCACTCAGGTGGTCAAGCCTTCCTACTGTAGCAAAGCTCAAGGACCTACACTGGACATAAGATAAAATAATCCATCTAAGAACTTCTTATGAAATATCATCTCTACATTGCTACAGTTTGCTTAAAGTTCACTGTTATTTAAGCTATGGTACAGTATAACATCTACAGTTAGATGATGCACAAATGCAGACACTGAATCAAAGTTGAAGGGGCCATTACTCCACAAATAATAATAAGAAAAATACTGTACAAAACTCATCCATGATCTTATGGGTAATACTCTGCAACTTAGGAACGAGTTTACCAGTAGGTCCAGGATTTTTGTTTATGGAAGTTAATATATATTTACCTCGAGAATATCCCCCAAAAAATGATAAGGATTTAATTTTGTTTTCTTCTGAGCAGTAATCTACATCTCTGCAGGGGGGGGGGGGGGTTAGAAATGGAGGACTGATCCAGATGCCCTTAGCAAATACAGGTACAGTAGCTCTCAGTAATGTGTAGCCAACTTTTAGGACACAACCATCATGATGTGCCTCCTCTCCCACCTTGTCCCCAAATAAACACTCGATCCACAATAACAAAGATCCAATGCTGGCCTGTTGTCTCTGTCCAGTACAGTATACTAAATCAAATATACACTGTGCCTATTCCTGCAGACAAATTTCATCATATTGACTCTAGTTTAAGGTTAGGTTAGATTTCTCGACCATTGTGTGAGACAACATGATGAGGTTTGTCATACGATTAGCCTCGACCTTAAACACAAATGGAAAGAGGATAATCGTGTGGATGGGTCCTCCCTAACTATAAACATTTCACCATAGAAGACATGTTTTCTTACCTCATGAAAATGACAGAAAATGTACCAGGGACATATTTTGTGTATCACCACCTTTATGATTACTCCAGTATTTACATGTGGGAGGCGCAGACAAGCTTCTGTGTGTCTGCTATGTAGGTTTCTTCCAAGGTTTAGAAGGGATTTTTAGTTTTATTTTAGAAAATTTCAATACACGATAACTTTAGCATATTTGGTTAGGTTATGTTTGGTTGATTAGGAAAGGTAGGTCAATTTGGTTCATTGTATGAATGTCAAATTATCAACGAGGCATTAAATAAGTACCAGGTACAGTACTGTTATATTCTATACTTTATCATTCATAAAATGTACTAAACTAACCTAAAATAATATTTATCTTATATTTTAATCTCCTAAATAAATTTTTAAAAAGAATCTATTACCACGAGAACGTAAATAATTGTGTAAAGTGATATTACACAAAATGTTAGTGCTACTATAGTGTGCGGTCTACAAAGACATGATTAGTCTAACCTAACCTAACTTAACCTGAACTAAATATCTTGGAGACTGCTCACTATAGCAGCACCAAATGTTTTCCTGGTACAATTTGGGGCATTTCATGAAGCAAAAAATTCATTAGTATATCTTCTATGGCTCTATGTCCTACAGCTGGTGGTAAGGCAGTGCCTCTCTCTCCTAGACTATTACTAGAAAATATATCACTTCAGTATCACTATCTTAACAACTTTTTTTTAACTAATAATGTTTTTTCCCGCTGGTAGCTTACAAAAAATGGAATAAGTGACACACACACAATGGCTTAGTTACCTTCCGACATCACTACTCATGTAAATTAAACCAAACCATCACTGAACTGTGATTATAGCAGGAAAAGATCATCAAGTCACACAGTCAAGTTAGGTCAAGTGGTTGCTGCTTCATTCATCCTACAGTTCACAGATAAAGTTTGGCAATGCTCAGTGGTTCATTCCTGTTATAATCATGCATAATACAGTTATTATTTACTTTAAAATCTACCTTTCTGAAAGTTGAAATTGCTCAAAACACACACACAAAAAAAATACCATTGGAAAAACATAGTTCAACGTAACCTAACGTACACCTAACCTGCTGGATGACCTAAACGATAATAATACCAAAATATTTATAACAGTTAAACAGTTTATTGGCTGGGAATTGATGTAGTATCAAACATGGTTAGAAACAGTCTGAATGATCAGTAATATTTTTTTATTTTTTTTTAGGAAACTTGTTTTTTGTTTTTATGTTTCAAAATAAAAATTAAATAGGTAACTCCTCTATGTGACAAGACAAAACAGAAGCTAGTTAAGAAGACATGTGCACCCAGGCCTTTTGTGAGACATGACCAAAGATGTGTGTTATCTAAGGTACATGTGGGTGAGAACATTACACCTGGCACCTCCTGTTATAGGCACCAGCTGGCCCTAATGTATGATAGATTGTCACCACCAGAGCACCACAACCTCACCTGAGACATGACCTATATCTCTACCACAAGTACACCCAGTGCCTTATTTTACATATCATCATTAGTAAATACAAACATAAACATTTTCCCTATCCCACGACACTGAAATGTATTACCTGTTAACATCACCTCTTATCTATAACTCTTTCTTACCTTTACTATCAACATTTCAAATAATCAGTCCTTTATCTAACCGATAGTCACGTTATTATGACACATTACACGATATTATTATATATAATTACCAAATGTGGGTTATTAAGGACAGTGTACGGAGGGAAGTTTGAATCACCTGAGATATTCTCCCATCACACATATTATAATCATTCTCTTACACCCCGTTTACTTCACACGGTCCTCACTTAATTAAACACTCACTACAGACTTACTCTAAAGGTAGTGAATAAGGTATAATCCACGTGTTAGTGTGACTGGAGAAGGTTTCCTCGAGGGGCCACCATTCACATGTCTCCTTACGCCATTGTTTGGGATAGACTGCTATAAAACATCCACTACCACCGGTTAATATATCACACTAAACTATACATATATAACTAATAATATACACCAGGAATAGATTATACAGAAATATTAAAATGGTATCATTAAATATATAATAAATGTGGTAGTGTTATATAATAAATGTATAGTATTATTAGTGTTTACAAGAGTGAATGAATGAACCTCTCAACTCTGGTAAAATAAAAATAAAAATATATATCTATAGAACCAATAGCCTTAGCTGATGTAAATACTGTGATATACCACTAAATAAATGGTTCTTTCCTAAATATAAATGACAACTTTATTTATTATGTTGAGGTTTGTGGTTGAGTTCAGTAGTGGGTTCACCTGAGGCTCACCTGGGTGGCCCTAGGGGGTGTGTGGTACCATGAATGACGAGGGTAAGAGACTCGCTGAGGTGGTCAAGGGCACACACAAAAGGCTCAGGAGAAGGTATAAGTTAGGTAAAGTCTTCATCTTGTCTCTGTGTTAATGATGATTTAGGTTGTAGATAATTCAGTCTCTCAACCAAACTCCAAAAGAAGGATTGTATTTTGGTGGGTCAGGACAACCAAGAGGAAGGTTTTGGGGGGTTTGACCTCTCATTGTGAAATAATTTTAAACACAAATAATCAAAGTTAAGTGACACAACATAAGATAAATTGCAAAACTTACATGACTATTGTTGACAGTAAGGAATCATTGTGTTAGAAGATAACTGGAGTATTTTAGGTTAGGTAGTTTGGTGTTTATATTAATGATTAATTATTTATTGTAATTTCAGGTGAAGATGAAACTCAAGTCTGGCAACAACACATTCAACATGTAGAGGAGCTCCACACATATGCCAATGCCATGCATACATTAGCTACCCAACACTGGGAGCCACGACAACAGGTGCTAATAGAGTTAATGTTTTCCTGGTGATATGTGCTTTGTGTTGTTCACTGCAGTTACCAAACCTTGTGGTAACAGAACAGTAAATGAAGTGACTGTTACTATGTTATTTTACATGAGTGTTAGTGTTCTCTATTCTCAGGTTTCACTATTGACAACCTAACCAAAAGAGTAAAACCCAAAAGAACATTCAGGACTACTTTTACTTTTATCCTCTTCTTTATTAATCTGATAACTCTCATATACCAGGGTACACGACTTTACCAACCTGACCTATATCACAAGAAGCTTGTTAACTGTGAAACATGATACTATGAACACTGGCCGACACCAACTACTGTACTGTATACTCAGGTAAAAAGGTGTGGTAGTAGCCCTATGTACAGTAAAAGCTTTATTAAGGGTCAGTTTTTATATTTACCAATACCTGTACAAATATTCAGTCTACTGTACTGTATTTATTTTAGCACAGTTCTGTCACCTTTATTTTAACATGTAATAGTTATTGTTTATAAACAGATACAGTACTGTACCAATCTTGTATTATCATTAATAAGAATGTCAACTGTATAAATGATTCTCTGTTGCATGACAAAATTTATTTTAAGAAGGGTAAATTATCAAAGTTTATAAATAAACAAATCATAAGTTCTTTAAATAAATTATAATTTATTGGAACATACAAAACAAAATAAGTGTATTCTTGTACAGTTTTGTTTAGCAATGAAGATTATATTGGTAGTGTACCTGCCACTGTACTGTACTGTACTATAACAGAATTCAGTCCAATTTTAATCTAGCTCCAACTTTAAAACAAAAAACAAACTTTTTTAACAATGTTTTTTGCCAAATACTGAACTAAAAGGAATTACTGTACAGTACAATGATGTAGTACAGTACTCTGGTGGGTGATATTTGACCACCTTAAGGAGTAGTTACTCTACCTTACCAACTACCGGTAAGTGAGTGCTGGGAGTCCTACATATACTGTAATGCCCAGTTCCCACTCTGTAAAAGCCTGATGACAACCAGAACACTATGCCATCGGGTAATCGTGACTAATCCACACAAATATGTTATGGTGATAATGATAATGACTGCATTATATGTGAGAAATAGTAAATTTCATACAGGGTATAGACGTTTAGAAATAAATATTATTTTTTTTGCACAGATTAATAATATGATGTTTGATATCTCATCAAGATTGTATTGGAGAATTTGTCTTAGCAGGTGAACACTTCTCGAGTGACTTGGGTTCACAATGCCATCATGCAGTATTTCCACGGAGGAGACATACAACGTACAACGGACAAAGAAATGCGCAAGTTGGAACACCTCGGATTGAAAATGGATGAGTCTAACATCGCTGACAGGTCTGTGGTGTTTGTTACATGTTATCTGTCATAACTCTACCAGCAGCTCCCCTCTGAGGGTAGCCATACCTAAAGAATCTCTAGGGTGCCCTATCACTACTTATATTCCTTGATCTGTCTATTCCCTTATCCGTTGCCCTGTTCTACACTTATTGTATTGTTCCACATGTCTCCTTTATGGGGAGTCTCCCTATGCACTGTATCCTTCCCACATGTTTATACCATCTCAACAATCCTCTCCTTAACTGTTCCACTGTTTACACCCTCTTCTTCCTCTACTACTCCATACACTTACCTGGTTCTAGCTAGCCCAGAATTAACTCTTGGTTCGTTCATTTTTAATACTGTACTGTGCTGGAATTTTTAAGCATTCTCCAGGTACTTTATTCCAAGTCCATATTTCTCTGCCATAAGCTAAGGTAAGAAGTTTTCTAATCCTTCGAGAGTTTATTCTTTACTTCCCAGCTTTCCAATACCATCCTCCCATGTATAGTACAGTATTGTTCTTTCCCTTATTTCTGTCTCTTTCTTATAATTTTTCCTGAAAATTATTGCAGTTACATGACATATTTTACTTACTCCAGTATTTTAGCTGTGATTACCTGATGGCCTGGTGTCCTGGTTACCGTGAAGCAAGCTTTATGGCCGAATGCCTCCATCACGAACCCACTGTTGCCTACCTCTGAGCAAAACCTTGACATATTCATCATAGTTTTACAATCTTCCTTACAACCTTTCACCTGATACTTTTGCTGTTATCTGTACCATCTGATATACTCATAGTGGCATGTACATTATTTCCTCCTCTTATTGTTTCAACATCTGACTGAACACCATCCATTCTCAGACTTTTTCTTAGTTTTAATTTGCTTCCTGCTGTTATTATCTCCTTAGATAGGGCTGTGATAGGAGGGCTGCATTAATACAACACTGGACATTCAATAGAAACCCCCCAGTCCACCCAGCTGTGAATTGGTACAGTACCCAACTTTGCAATTAAAAAATGAAGACAATTGAGTGCTGCGTTAGTTACGCTCTTCTTTGTGTACCAAAGGTTTAATATTCAGTGTGCTGTAGCCAACCTGCCCTAATGGACTGTAAGGGCTGTAGGACCCACTTTCCCCAGTGGCTTTCTTCTGTACTTCCAGTTTCCTTACTCTTTGTTCCTTTCCCCAACATGAAGTCTTTGCATCTTTTTCTAGCAGTAAGAACCATTGAATTATCAGAATATTTCCACCATTTACTTACTACAGTATCACTTGTTTCTGTTAATAATTTTCTGCCTGTAGACTTATTCTACTGCTGCTTCTCCTTTCCCTGATGTTTGACGGGAAGTAATGAAAGTACTGTACAGTATTGGCACCAAAAAGAAATAAAGAAAAATAGGGCAATTATGAAACCATATAGTGTTTTGGGTCATTGGCCATATCTCATGTTCATTATGGACTAATTTAATTCTGTAATAACACATTTACACTCACATTAATGAAGCTGGTCAAGTAATGCCTTAATTATTATACAGTGGTCCCTCGGTTAACGAACACAATTCGTTCCAGAAGGTCGTTCATTAACCGAAATCATTGTTTCAATGTGATTTTGGGTAATTGGTTCCAGCTCACCGAAAATTACATACATAGTAAAAATAAATGCAGTAAAGTACATTTACTTTGAGGCGTGTATGTAGAAGGCTCCTGGTTGATGATGATGATGATGATGGGAATTAGAAGTGGGGATGGAGGAGAAGGGAGAAGAGAAGGAAGTGGGGATGGAGGAGAAGGGAGAAGAGAAGGAAGTGGGGTGGAAGAGAAGTCACCCCCATGCTTCATGCTGTCATTTCACCCATAAAATTTTAAGTTCACTTGGTGTAACTCAAGATTATTTTCTTTAAATCAACACAGCACTGCACTATATATTGTCAATATGTAAAATAAATTTCAGAATGACCAATAATTGTACTGTAAAAATGTAAAAATAGTTTATGTTCAAGAGAGTCTCAAGCAAGATGTTACCTCCATTGACCAGAGATACAAACTGACGCCTGTTTGGTGAGTCAAGTGGCTGTTTGGCACACTAAAAACTAGTTCCCTGTACTTCAATTATGTTAAATAATTGTTAAAATGACTACAAATTTTAATATAAAACTTGGAAAATTATTGAATAAAGTAGTACAACCTTCTTGATATTTACTCAAATGGGAACGAATTTAAGCCCTAGAACCAATTACTGTATTGGCGGACTAATACTACAGCTGGTGAGCAAGCGAAAACATATTGAGTGAGAATTGGTAAGGAATTCGTTAACCGAATTTTTTTCGTTAACCGAATTGAATATTCTTATGGAAGGTAATTTGTGAACCGAAATTTCGTTAACCGAGGGATCACTGTACTGTAATAGCAAGTGGACTGGAATGGAAAGTAGCTATTATTAATTCTTGTGGTGCCATGTACGTACATATGTACAGTAGTCCTGTTTTTTCAAGACTACACAGCAAAACTCAAAACAGTTTTTGTTCATCTATTGTAATAAGTATCACTCAGTTTATGTTGATTGATGGTGAGTAATAATATTTTTGTCTACTTCTACAGATGTAAAGTTTTGTTAACCTCAAGAGTGAAAGTCTTAGATGTGGGAAGCTGTTACAACCCCTTCCTTGTGTACAAAGAGTTTGACGTCATGGCTGTTGATCTTTGTCCAGCTCATCCGGTATGAAATTTTTCTTATGTATTATTGTAAGGACAGATTTTGCAGGTATACAGTATAGCAGGGATGGCCAACCTCCGGCGCATGTGCCAAACGTGGCGCATTGGATGATTAGAAGTGGCACATTGAATCCCTGTGATAATAATAAAGTAAGGCAGTAAGCCTGCTCATTATTTTTAGCGATTTTATTATTTCGTGCACAGCATCAGACTGAAATAGAAGGAAAACTGAAGCTCGTGCTTGGGTCTGAGTTATGGAAAGAATATGTGACTAAGAAAAAGGAAGAATTCAGAAGAAGACAAAATGTATTTGTTAAAAAGAAGTTGTGAAAGTTTGTCGATGACAGAGGTGTCCTATGAAATTGCTTTAGCTTTGGCGAAAAAAGGGAAGTCTTTCTCTGATGGAGAAGAAATTGTTAAGCCTTGTCTCCAAATATTTGCAAGACGTCCTGGTGATAAAAGTATTGAAAGGAAAGCAGACGAAATTGCTCTATCAAAGCAGACAGTTACGAGACATACCGAGGAACTCTCTCATGATGTATCTCACCAACTGAAAGACCTTGTCCATTCTTGTACTTTCTTTTCTTTAGCTTTGGACGAATCAACTGACATATGTGATGTAGCCCAGTTAAGCATTTTTATAAGAGGAATTAATGATCATTTTAGTGTCTTTGAAGAACTTAGTCTTGAGTCGCTTCATGGAAAAACAAGAGGATCAGACATATTTGACAAAGTAATATCATGCCTAGAAAATCTACAATTAGATTCTAGTAAACTCATCACTGTGTGTACTGACGGAGCGCCGTCAATGATAGGTAAAGTCGCCGGGACTACAACTTTGCTTGAAAACTTTTTAAATCGTCCTCTACTAAAATATCACTGCATTATACACCAAGAGTCACTGTGTGGAAAAACTTTAAATTTGCAGCATGTTATGTTACCGGTTGAGAAATGTGTGAATAAAATTAGAGCAAGAGCATTAAACAGATGATAATTCAGAGAATATTGTGAAATATTAGATTTGGAATATGGCGACCTTGTCCTTCATTGTGAGGTGCGCTGGCTTTCAAGAGGACAGGTTCTGAGTAGGTTTTGGAAACTGAAAAATACTGTTCATACTTTTCTAGAAGAGAAAATTGAGCTACCTGAGGAAAGAGCCCTTTTATGTGATAAAAACTGGTTATTTGATTTGGCATTTTTAGTTGATGTTACCAGACATCTCAATGATCTAAATTTGAAACTGCAGGGCAAGAACAAATTGTTTCCTAGCTTAGTAAATGACATCAATGCATTCAAGATGAAGTTAAAACTGTTCATCTCTCAGTTAGAAAATGAGGATTTGAGCCAGTTTCTGCACTTAAAAGAGCAGAGTGAATGTGCTGCTGATAATGGCAATTTGACAAAATATACTGAAAAAATCAAGTTGTTGCAAGTCATTTGAAAGTCGTTTTCGTGATTTTGCTGAAGAAGAAGACTGCACACTCGCATTTATAAACCCATTTTCACTTAGTGAACAAAAAATAATGAAGATGCCTAGTAACATACAAATGGAACTTATTGACTTGAAAACAAATTCATTATTGAAAATGAAATTTGAAGAGCTTTCCTCAGTCCCAAATGCTTCTGACATGATGAATTTCTGGCGATCATTACCCTGTGAAAATTTCCCAGAACTAAGAAAATTTGCCCAGAGTTATATATGTCGTTTCGGAACGACATATAGATGTGAACAAACATTTTCATCCGTGAAATTGATTAAAGGCAAAACGAGGTCGCGACTGCCTGATTCAAATTTGAAGAATTCTCTGCTGCTCTCGGTAACAAATTTAACTCCAAACATTGAAAGACTGGCGAAATGAAAACAGACTCAAAAGTCTCATTAAAGGTAAGTAATGTTTATCTGCTTTATCAGATATTGTTTTTATATTTAATAATTTTATCATGTAAAAATGCTGATTATGTCTATAAACATATTTTTACAAGTAGTAGACGGGGGTACAAGAGTTGTATGGCGCATCTGAACTCGTGTGTGAACAAATTGACGCATGGTATGTAAAAGGTTGGCCACCCCTGCAGTATAGTCTGGTTTTACGCGCCTAATTAAACCCATGGAGGTCCACGTATAAAGTGAAACGCGCAAATAAAATAACATTTGGGATTAATTGAAATACTGTAGAGACTGGGCTGACCGCCAGACGACCCTTTTTTGGGCTATCGCCGACACAATACGTACGTTGTAGTAAAAATAACATCTTAATTTTATAATGGTATGCACACACAATTAATATTTAAGAGAAATATCAATAATATTAGGTTTTTAACACTTACATCAGTAGAAAAGATGGCTGGGGGGTTGGTTCCGAGGCAGAGGGCAGATTATTGGCCCTCACCTGTATCTCTATCCACCACAGAGGCTAGCAGGGCCTCCTGGTCAAACCCCTCGAAGTCCATATCCTCACTATCACTGACTTGGGCTGGCTGTGGCGGGTGAGGAACTCGGTGATGTTTTGTTGACGGCTAGCATTGATGTGGTCGTGATACAGCTTAACATAGGGCTTCAGGGATTGCAACTGAAGGTTATTAGACACTTTGTAGCGATGATTGACTGGGTCTTTGGCAAGGAGGAGCTTCAATCTCTCAGCTGCCTCGATGACATCTTTCACATCAGCATGTGTTAGTTTCTGCTCTTATTGTTCTGTTCCACCTCGCTGCTCACTGACGTCATCATCTTGCAACATCTCGTCTGCAGTCACCTCAGGTTGCCTGATTACCTCCAGGATGTCGTCGTTGGTGTTCTCGGAGAAGCCTTCAGCTCTAACACCTTGTGCAGCCTCTCTTGCATTCTCTAATGCCACAACGACAGACTGAGCCTCGCCAGCCACAGCTTGTCTCTGCCTCCCACCTGGCATACCCTCCAACACATGACGCCACGCGTGACGAATCGTTGCCACAGATAGCTGCCCCCACGCCTCCACCAAGAAATCAACAGCACCTTCTTGGGCTTAGGGTGGCTTGGGTCAGGTAGTTCAAGGTTTCTCAGGGGTGGCGGGGGTCCAGGGGTAGCCATTATGTAGAAAAAAACAAAAAACAAAACAGGTTCCTGGGCACGAGTGAGTATACGCGGGGACAATGAGACTGGCGCGGCCAAGGTCATCAGCCCTGGTGGCAGGGAAGAGCAAGGTTAAATAGACCAATCACAGCGCGCGGCGGAGGGGGTGCGTGGGTGGTAAGGATACGTGGCCCAATCACAGACCGCGACGTCATCGGCACTAGTCTGACATCAGCGCCCAGCACCTTGCCCGCCGCTTGCCGCGTATATGATGGCATTTACCGCGTAAATAATAATTATCGCGTCTGGACAGGTGCAGCATAAATGGCCAATCGCGTATAAAATATCCGCGTAAACCCAGACTATACTGTATTAATTTAATGTTTTTCTGTCTGTATTACACCATTCTTGATTACTGTACAGGGGATGGAACAAGTGCACCGAGTCTACGATGCTAAAACATTAATGATGGCAGATGGTAAACAAACCTAACATAACAATTATAAAAGATTGTTAGGTTAGGTTATGTTGGTTCATACAGTATTGTTAATTAACAGAACTCTTTTAGCATCACAGCTTCCCTCAAGAAATAACACAACTGTACTGTACTGTACTGTAGTACTGTACTGTACTTCATAAGGTAATGGAGAGTATCTGTACATATATATTATTTATTAGAAAAGTGAATAAAAAACAAACCAAATACGCTTTTCCACAACTCATGTTGATTGAGATAATTGAATCAAGATGTTCACATTATCTGGTAGTCTCACATGTGTATAATATTGTATATTTGACCACCAGAGTTAAGTAATATTTTCCTACATTCAGAGCCAATATGTCACTGTCAATTCTTCCTTAAGCATTTTTTATTACCTGATCTCCCTTTCACACTAAAACATCTTATAACTGTATCTTGTTTCTCCCTTTTCAGTCTGTCAAGAAGTGTGACTTCTTAAGTTTGGAAGTTGTCAAAAAACCCATAGAAGATAATCCTGTAAAGACTGATGTCCACAGTCATCCAAAATTATTACTGCAGTCAGACAAACATGAATCTACGAGTAAAATTACGTCAGTCACAACAGATACTTTACAAGACACTAAATTATTGGTATCGGATATATCAAATACTTCTCAACAAGCAACAGGTAAAGTAGAGTTAACAGAACCTATATCATCAGATAAAAACAGCAAAGAAGGAGCCACAGCTGCCATGCCCGAGGCCACCACCAATAGTAAATCCACACCAATGAGGATTTTGGATGGTGACACAAGGCTCAGTACAGGAATGTCTAGAGAAGGAAGATGTTCACCTGAAATGTCTAATACAAGTATGGCAGAATGGAGTAGGAGTGTAGAAGTGAATGAGAATGTTGAGCCCAAAACAGATCAAGTTCCCAGGGATGAAACTGTAGCATGTCTAGAAGGTGGTTCCTTTGATGCAGTGGTGTTTTGCTTGCTTCTTGAATACTTGCCGTCTCCAAAACATAGATTCTTGTGTTGCCAGAAAGCTTACAACCTTCTCAGACATAATGGTATTCTGTGTGTCATCACTCCAGACAGTAAACACCAGAATGCTAATGTACATCTTTATAAGCTTTGGAAAATAACTCTCGGATACATAGGATTTTCAAGGACAAAATATGAAAAGTTGACACACTTTCACGGGATGGTTTTCAGAAAAGGGTTATATAAGGAAGCCTGGAGATTGGATGCTGCCAGGGAATTATCTCTCATGAAAAAGACTATTGTGAAAAATAAGTTTGTAGGGATAAACTATGATAAAATTGACAGTGAAGTTTATATTCCTCAGGATTTTCAAGATGTGTCAGATAGTGAAGAAGAAACAAGATGAAAGAGAAAAGTCAGGTTATTAATTTTTGTGATACATTTGTGAATTTCCTTTTAACAAGAAAATATAAATGTTCTTTTGATAATTATCACCACCATTGTTCACACACAATGTATTCATCTGGAAAAGACAAGACTGTTAACATTTACTGATGACTTGAGGAGAGTATTTGACCAAGAAACATCCTCAAAGGTAATAATAATGATCACTGACAAGCGAGAGGTAATTATTTTGAGTTTTATAAAATATCTTCTAGAAAAGGTAATAATTAATAAATAATATACAATATATATTATTGTCATGTTTATTCCTGGTGCCTCTCAAAGTGACTGATACAGTATAATGTGTCCACAAAGGTCTAGAGGTAAGGCATGCAGGGAGACCTTGACCAAGGCAGCTGAGACTATTCCAGTGGTCAGCCCTAACCCTTAGTAACAACATCTTCACTACAGTACTGTACTGTACATAATATAGGATGATTGTCTCGACTACAAAAATGCCGATTAATTTTAGATAAAACGTTTCGCTGCCTTGGTTATGAACGTTAGCCATGTTTATAGTTGTGACCATGCAAGCAGTTAAGATAGGAGCAACAAGTCGTATACTGTATCTGACCTTTGGTCTCAGTTGAATCCATAGTTAAAATTTGGGGTTGATGCCAAATTACTGTATCACACTGAACAAATGTTTATGGATGCTGTACAGTGTTGTTCAATACAGAGAAGAAATTACGATGAATGTTCAACAATGAAAGGTCAGGTTACTGCTTGAAGCGGTAACACAGTATAAAGAGTTGCCTGATGACACTGAAGCTCTCCTGCATTACATACTAATGATGTTACTTTCCCAGCATAAGTGAAATGGGTGAGGGATTACTGAAATATAACTTGATATAATAATTTAAACATACAGAAAGTTAACATTTATTAAGGACAAACATAACACTGCTGCTTGACATGCAGAACTGAAGATTCCATGCATAAGCTGCTTGGCACTTGATGCATGTGACCAATTAACCCTTTGTGTATGGGATCCTCTCTGTGCTGAATAAAATCGTCTGGCATCATCCAAATAAAATAATAAAGGTGACATCTGGCAGTGTAAGGGTTAAGAGACTGGTATCAGACAGTGAGGATGTGTTGCATCAAAGGCTTTATCATCTGACTAAGAAAAGTTACATAAAGCAAAGGATATACAGAATCAAGTTGAGAGAGGGAGTAACATGAAAGTATATTTTCAGAAAAGTAGTAGAGTAATACAGAACAAAGGCTGTTATGTCAGATTATGACAAGGGACAAGATAAAACAAAGGCTGTTACCCTGTATAGTGAACAGGGAGCCAGTGTAAAACAAAGGGTCTACGTCCTACCAGAGAGAGGGGATGGTCAGGGCTTGTTATCGGGGATGTGGAGTTGTACAAAATTATAAGTGTGATTTTATGATTAATAATGTCAAATAAAGGGTCATATATTAACTGGGAAAGAAATAAGAAGTTACTTGAGAGGTGGTCGAGGATGTTCTGGCCCAGTACTGTACTGTAGGTACTTGGAAAGTTCAATAAGAAGATTTTTTAGAACTAAGAAAAAGAAAAAAGAAAATTATAAAAATTACCGGGTATTTAAAATAAAATTGCACTGTACAATATATGGAAAACCTTAACAAATACCTGTACAATGTAAACTTACAAAACATACTGTATAATGTAAAAAATTATAGAAATGACTGTAGCCCATAATGGGAGAAGGTTGTTGTTGGCAGCACTACCATGGGAGAAGGTTGTTGTTGTTGGCAGCACTACCATGGGAGAAGGTTGTTGTTGTTGGCAGCACTACCATGGGAGAAGGTTGTTGTTGGCAGCACTACCATGGGAGAAGGTTGTTGTTGGCAGCACTACCATGGGAGAAGGTTGTTGTTG